TTTGATTCACTATCTACTGACATTTAACTGGAACATATACAGTGTGGTTCAAGATTCAGAATCCTGATCACCCTGTATCTGTTCCAATTATCAAATGTCAGTAGATAGTAAATCAAAAGTCAAGAGACGGACATGAAAGCCGTTTTGACCGATAATGAATAGTTTCATCACAAAAAAACAACGTAAAGTTGAAAAATCTCGATTTTGAACACCCTATATCTCTGTAATCATTTTCGCTAGACCCCAAGTGTGATGTGATGAAATCAGCTCTTCAGGGAGAATCTAAAAATACAATGAAAAATAGGGTGTTCAATTTAAAAAAATCAAATAGTACCCTGTAGATCGTTTGTTCCGAGCACCTTGTATTTTCTGATGTAGCGGAAAAATATTCTAGCGAAAATCATTATAGATGATATTAAAAATTTTGCAATCGGTTCAAAAATAACTGAGCTAGAGGGGGAAGGGGGGGAACATTTATGGTGAATCACCCTGTACGTATAGTATAGAATAAATTCATTTTCAGCCAAACCCTATCTATTTCTGAGAAATTCCGTGAAATAGGTCGATTTTCAATCTCAATTTGCCATATTCATACGGGTAAATTAAATATACAGGGTGATCCACGTAAGACAATGACGTCCGCGCGGCAATGTTTTCGAATGAACACCCCATATATTATTCAATTTTTGGAATCTCAATGGGAAGCTGCATTCAAAAATATATCACACATGGACTTTTTATACAATGCGTCCGTTGAATTCAGTGCTTTCTTTTTAATGTAGTGCGGGTGACTATGATTTTCTTGTGACTTTTCCATATTTACTATTTGGTGAATAATCACACCTATACCAGCTGATGAGGCCGTCCATTCGCCATTGTGCCATCGGCCATTGAATTATCAAGGACATGTCAAATATGCAAGAATTCACTTCCACCGTGGATAGGTAAATGAGAAAACTTTATATTGTTCTGAAAATTCATGTCACACAACTATTTAGTTCAACCTTCAAAGTGGAAACAAAGATTGAAGAATATCATTTAAAATAATTTGTATAAAACTTTATTCAAGAGCAATTTGTCTCCCATGGTATCTGTTGACATCTGACCTTCATTTGACATCTAAAATTGAATGGCTGTTAGCTGGTATGATTGTTCAGTAAATATGAAAAACTCGCCAAAGAATCATATTTCTTGTTGATTTTCCTTAAAATCTGTCATTGAAGTAGATCATGAGTATATACAGTGTGGCCAATGACAAAATAAAAAGAGCTAAGTAAGTAGATGAAAAATCAGTAAATGCTCATCCAAAGCAGGCGGAAAAAGCTGAAATTTAGGACTTTCTCGTGAAATATTTCACTGAATAGTGGTTTCTTCACATTTCCATTATCAAATTCGTGTTTCTGAGAGAAAAATACGTAAGCCCAAAAAAAAATTTCGAAATCAAAATCGTGTTTTTCAGACAAAAAGTACCAAAAATTATTTTCGAAAAAAAAAACCATCGCATGATAAATGCAGTTTTACCAAAAATTGTCAAGTGAATAAATTTTTTTTTGAAATATCCCATCATGGGATCACACACTCTGTAGAATTACTATTATTGGCCAATGGATTTTTCAACTCGATGTTGTGTTCTAGAAATTCACATTCAAATAAAATTTCGAAATTTGAAAAAAGTAGTAATTTTGGTAGAAAAAGTCGAAACATTCGAGATAAGAGTTGAGATTTCGATATAAACGGCGAATTTCTCACTCTGAAGTCGAAATTTTGGAAAGAAAATTGGGTAATTTTGCACTAATCATGCGATGGGTTTTTTTCGAAAAATTTTTTTGGTACTTACGTATTTTTGTCTGAAAAACACGAATTTGATAATGAAAATGTGAACAAACCACTATTTATCGAGATATTTCAAGAAAAAGTTCGAAATTTTGCCTTATTTTCCTCCTTGTGTTGGATGCATTTACAGGTACTTGCTCTTTTTATTTGTCATTGTACACTTTATATACTCATGATGTGCTTCAATGACACATTTTAAGCTAGAAAATATAACAGGAAATATGATTTTTATGGCGAGTTTTTCCTATTTAGTGAGCAAGCATACCAGATGACGGCCATTTAATCCATATAGGCAATCCAAATACGAGATGTCATATGTCAATAGATTGCTTTGGAATGACATTACACACGCCATTATTTCAAATGATATTCTTCCTTCTATTCACTAAACATGGATACATCACAAAAAAAATCATATTTCTGGTTGACTCATACAATAAAAACAATGTGTCTAACATTGTGTGATATATAAATTGTCCAATGATGGAAAAAGAAGGGCAAATTGTTCTGAATGCGATCCAAAAGACAGGCGGAAAATATGGCGGAATATGTAACTTTATAGTGAAATATCTCGATAAATAGTGGTTTGTTCACATTTTCATTATCAAATTCTTGTTTTTCAGACAAAAATACGTAAGTACCAAAAAAAAATTTCGAAAAAAAAACCCATCGCATGATAAGTGCAAAATTACCACACGTTGAACTCGATGTAGTGTTCTAGAAATTCACATTCAAATAAAATTTCGAAATTTGGAAAAAGTAGAAATTTTGGTAATAAAAGTCGAAACATTCAAGATAAAAGTTCAGATTTCGATATAAACGGCGAATTTTTCACTCTGAAGTCGAAATTTTCGACAGAAAAATGAAATTTCCAGCTAAAAATCAGAATCTTTATAAGATCCGGAACTCTTGTAGATCGGCAAGCAAAAAATATGAAAACCGAGATGAAAACCATAAGAATTGGTGTCGAATTTGATCTAAAAGCATTGATATCAACTCACCGGCATCCTTTCCTCACTTTGGGTACACATTTCAATGTTCAACAATAATTGAAATTCAAATAATCTAACAGTCGGTTTTCACCACACACAGACACTTGCGTAGTAAACGATATACTGATAATAGATTCGACTGTTCTCATACCCATTCCTTAAACTGTCTCAGAACAGTGTTCTGTAATCGAATGATTCACAATTTTTTTCTCGATCTCGATACGATAAACAGTCCCCACTTTTTTCATGGAACATTCCATTAATCGGACGTAAATAACAGAATAGGTATATATCAAAAGTAAAGTTGGAAGGTGTTCAGGACGATACAAATAAACATGGTGACCAAGTACCAATGTAAAATATTTCAAGAATCAGTAAAACTTGAAAAAAAAGCAAATGGTTCTTTCAATGAACATAAAATATGCCCTTCAGAAGGGTATTGAGGATTCACTTTGTCAACTTGTATCTTGGATATTGAAAACATCATTTATATTTTTATACAACGACTTGATGTATTATTTTTCAATTATAAAGTATTCAATTGAAATGAAGAATGAACCTGATAATTTTCGTTCGACTTATTCCTACTTCACTATAAAATTGGGGAGAGTCGAAATACAGGGTGTCCCAACCTTCAGCGAGGAAAAAATTTGTTTTCCTACAGCCGCACCTATGAAAACAGCACAAAACACATTGATTTGTTATTGAGAAAGTGACTGGTTTCACTATGACAACATATAACGGTTAGAAAGTTCGAAAGTTAAACTCACATGGGTGGAAATATTCGAAAATCGCACAGTAACAGGGTCTATAGATTATGATGTACCAATGAATGATTAATATGGTGAATTATAATAAGTTGTGTTATAGTCAAGTTAATGGAAAGTTACTGTCGTTTTAACATAAGTTATTGTCGTTAATGTTGACGTGATGAAAAGTTGAAATCAAGTTAATTTCAATTGAAAGTTGAATTAATGTCAATGTATTGGCAATTTAGTGATTAATGTGAAGTTGATGTCAATTTGATATTGAGTTGATGTTAATTTGATTTTAAGGTAATGTCAAGTTAATTTTGAGTTAATGTTGATTTAATGTTGAGTTAATGTTGAATAATTATTGAGTTAATGTTAAGTTGATGTTAAGTCAATGTTAGGCTAATTTTAAGTTAATGTTGAGTTGATGTTAAATTAATTTCAAGTTAATGTTAAGGAACTGTTAAATTTATGTTAAGTTGATGTTAAGTGGATGTTAATTTGATGTTAAGTTAATGTTGAGTTAATGTTGAGTTAATGTTGAGTTCATATCAATTTGATGTTAAGTTAACGTTGAACTAATGATGTCGTTTAAATATTGAAGTAAAATTAAATAATAATGATATCACCTTCATGTGATCGAATATGATTAAAAACATGATCCCTACTCTGGTCTTTAAGCACTCATGACATATAATATAAATATTTGTGGTCGTAGGAAAAATAGTGTACAAAACTCGTTGGAAAGTGCATTTCCTGCGCTCGTTTCGTTTCCGCACACGCTGCTCAGCGGCTCGTACTAAACGTCCACTCGCGCGAAAAATGTCACTTTCCACACTAGTTATGTTATACAGGGTGGCCCACGGTCGATGGTACCTTAGACGTATACGGAAAACGGTACATTGGATTATCCTGAGAATTTGGTTACTCTAATAAGCGTTTGTGATCTAACGATTCAAGATATTTTCAGCGAAGCAGCGTTGCCACTTTTACCAAAAAGTAGCATCATCTTTGTTATTTCAAATGGAACACCCTGTATTTTATTGCGTTTTTAGATTCTTCTCGAAGAGCTGATTTCATCAATGTATCACACTTGGGGTCTAGCAGGAATTATTACAAAGATATAGGGTGTTCAAAATCGAGATTTTTCAACTTTAGGATTTTTTTGTGTCGAAACTAGCATCAAAATGGATGTCTTCAAAGGTATGGTTACTCCTGATAAGCATGTTGGGCATAGTGAGATCGGCTTTTCTATTCATATTCATGAAGGGCAATGAAATGCAAACAGAATTATTTAACTAATGTTTAATAAATAGTGGAAAGACAAAAATGTCGTGAAATTATGTAAAGTAATCTCGCTCAGTACGAACATATTAAAACAGTGCAATGAGAATACCGTTTTGATTGGATACGTTATACGTTGCTAAACAGCGTACAAACCACACTCGTTCTTGAACTTAGGGGTAGGTCGAGCAAAAGGAGAAAACCACAGCAGGGAGAACCGCCCAAACACAGCTTGGATGCTTTTCCATCTGAAAAAAAAACGGATTGTTGAATAAAACACGCTGCAAGCTGTCGCGATTTTTTATTCAGTATCTAAGATGAAAAGGACGAATTCAATTGTTTTTCCTTGAAACAAAAGAATTGAAATTTATTTTTCATGAGAATTGAGCATAAGGGGTCGGTTCACTTTGAACTTTTATGATTCTCGATAATTTCACTTCATCATCTGCATCCACTTTCCTGGCTAATACTACGCAGACTGATGATATTCAACAGACTGTATGGAATCAGTTAGTAAAGTAGTGATCATATATAAAATATAATATATTTTTTTATCTCTTGAAGCGCACGAAAGGAAATTCCTATATGTTCGAAGAACACCGTGCGTAACTAGGGATGATAGGGGAAGGGGGAACCTGGGTGTTGGATTTTTTTTCAACTTCGAGACACTCAATAGTGTGCGTGGAATTAGCAAGTGAATGAGTTATCTTCTGTTAACTATTTTACATTAGATCATAGTTGGACGAACAAATATTCAATGATCTGCGCGGAATTAGCCCAGACATCATCCTCTGTGAAACAGGGCAAAAACTCCCAGATTATTCAGATTATTCCCTTACAGCCACCTTAACTTATTCACCCCCCTGAAGGAGTTCCTCAGATGCTCGATGCCCGTCTGGTCTGTCTCTTACGCCCAGTTATCATAGTAAATATTCAACAGACAATGAATAGTCTGTAGGGAATTAGCCAAGAACGTAGTTATATATTTACCAACAACACTGCTTCTTCGGATCTTTTCATTTGATATATTGAATATTCCACACCGTTCAGAACTGCTCTCCTGGCTAATTTCGCGCATTGTATTTTACACGTATTGACATTTTATCATTATATCCTCAAGTAAGACTTGAACAGACATTCAATAGCCTGCGCGAAATCAGCCGGGATAGCAGTTAACCTCTGTGGAACACTTCTAGAATATTTTGAATACTCCGATACTCACCCGGATTTTTTTACTCATCGAGCCTCCTCCTTCTTCAGCTGCTCAACGCTTGTTCCATCCGTCCATCCGGCTAAACATGTCATCTCAAGTGAAATTGCTCACCCAGGCTAATTCCGCGCATCTAATTCCACAACCATTGACATTTTACTATCAATTCTTATAGTTTGACTCGAACATACATTCGATTGCCTGCGTCGAATTAGCCGGGACAGCATTTACCCTCTGTTGAACATAGCAAAAACTCCCAGATTATTTCGACATCCATTCAGACTCGAACAAACATACTTATATCTGCGCGGAATTAGCCAGGACAGCAGTTATCCTCTGTAGAACACCCCCACAATATTTTGAATGGTCCGATACTCACCTGGACTTCTTTACCCAGCGCGCCTTCTACTTCTTCAGCTGCTCAATGCTTGTCTCATCCGTCCAATACGTCCAAACATTTCATCTTGAGTGAAATTGCTCTCCCCGGCCAATTCCGCGCATCGAATTTCACATCCATTGACATTTTACTATCAATTCTTATAGTGTGACTTGAACATACATTCGATTGCCTGCGTCGAATAAGCCGAGACAGCAGTTACCCTCTGTTAAACATAGCAAAAACTCCCAGATTATTTCGACATCCATTCAGACTTGAACAAACATACTTATATCTGCGCGGAATTGGCCGGGACAGCAATTAACCTCTATAGAACAACCCCACAATATTTTGAATGGTCCGATACTCACCTGGACTTCTTTACCCAGCACACCTCCTCCTTCAGCTACTCAATGCTTGTCTCATCCATCCAATACGTCCAAACATTTCATATTCCGTGAAATTGCTTTTCCAGGCTAATTCCGCGCATCTAATTCAAGATCTATTGACATTTTAATATCAATTCTTATAGTTTCACTTGAACATATATTCAACAGCCTGCGTGGAATTAGCCGGGACAGCAGTTTTCACTGTAGAACACTCCCACAATATTTCGAATAGTCTGATACTCACCTGGACTTCTTCACCCAGCGCGCCTCCTCTTTCTTCAGCTGCTCGATGCCCGTCTCGTCCGTCCATATCGCCTGCACCTGGGTGGCCAGCATCACGGCCGTGAAGACGGCGAACAGCAGCGCCTCGAAGGCCAAGAAGAGCAACAGCACGACGGTGGCGGGGGGCGAATACGAGGTGCAGCCCTTCCATTCGTGCCGCACGCAGGTGAGGAACTGATTGACGGCGAGGAAGAGCGAGTGCAGCGATATGGTGGCGATGTAGAACTGGAAAGAGAGAGGATAGTTCATGGGCGTCTTTTAGGGGGGATTGCCCCTAACCTGAGTTTCTACAAAAACTTGATTCTACTTAGAGCCTTCCTGTAACCACATGACGATATACCTACATCAGGTTTGTACCAATACTTAAAATTTGTTAAATATCATTCTTTTTTTTTAAGTTGTATGACAAATTGATATTCATCATACAGGGCATGGAAAGAATGATATTATGTGATGCTATTATACAGGGTCGCTGATATGTATGGAAACAGGTGAATATTTCGGCAATCTGTTGTTAGATTTTTTTGAATTTATGTACAGTGTGATTTCAAAACGTGGCGGATTTGAAAATGTTATAGCCTCTGTTGCCACTTTTTCAGTTATTCCGGATTTTTAGTAACTTCCTTATTTTGAATGAAACACCCTGTACTTTATTGGATTTCCAGATTCTCCTTGAAGAGCTGATTCCATCGATCTATCACACTTGGGGTCGAGCGGGAATGATTACATAGGTATAGGGTGTTTAAAATCTAGGTTTTTCAACTTCAAGATTTTTTTGTGTAGAAACTATCCATTATCGATCAAAACCGCTTCAATGTTCCTATCTTCACTTTTAATTTACCATCTACTGACTATTTAATTGGAACAGATACAGAGGGTGATCAGAATTCTGAATCTTGAACCACCCTGTATTTGTTTCAATTAAATGTCAGTAGATAGTAAATCAGAAGTAAAGATGGGAACATTGGAGCGGTTTTGATCGATAATGAATAGTTTCGACACAAAAAAATACTAAAGTTGAAAAATCTAAATTTTAAACACCCTATACCTATGTATTCATTCCTGCTAGACCCCAAGTGTGATAGATCGATGGAATTAGCTCTTCAGGGAGAATCTGAAAATCCAATAAATTACAGGGTGTTCTATTCAAAATAAGAAAGTTAATAAAAAATCCGGTATAACTGAAAAAGTGGCAACATTGGCTATAACATTTTCAAATCTGCCACGTTTTGAAATCACACAGTACATAAATTCAAAAAAATCCAACAACAGGTTACCGAGATATTCACCTGTTTCCATACATATCAGCGACCCTGTATGATAATACATATTTTTATCTGAAGGAGAATGCAAATTCTCAACTCCAGAAAGAATTGATATTTTCATTACATAGAGAATGCAAATGTTCAATGTATTTGTTTTATACAAGGTGATTCAGGTTTTAAGGCACAAACTGAAATGGGAGATAGATCTCATCATTTTAATTAAAAAAGTTCATACATTAGTCCGATCTCGTTAAGTAGCGGAACTACAGGGGGTCAAAGTTATTTTTTTTTATTAATCAAAATATCTCGCTTACTTTTCAAGATATCATTTTGAAATTTGGTATGGTCAATACTTCCTAGAAGATGATCGAAATCAGGAAAGAGAGCTCTTTCCGAATATGCGATAATATACAGGGGGTTCCATTCGAAAAAAAAAAATTTTTTTCACAAACACTGTATATAAAATGATAAAATCAAGCAGAGAACACATTTTCTAGAAGGAAATGACATCTCATTCGAGTACCTTTTTCCAAATTTCAAATATCTTATTTTGTTTTCGAGATATCAGCTGTAGAAGTCGTGAAATCCATAGTCACCCAAAAAAATCACTAATATGGATTGTGGATTTTTCAGCCCCCAAATGAAACCTAGTAGGCCTTGGTTTAAAAAAAATGGATGCTGATTAGCTCCAAAATACACCTTTACATTGGAAAAAATCATGAAAATTGCTCCATAAATAAAAAATTCATGAGGATGGCCTGCTTTCAAATGCATTTAAAAAAGTGTGATATATGAGTTGACATGAATATTCAGGTTGTCTGATTCAGGATAAAAAGGCTAATTGTATCATGTGAAAAAAAAGTAGGATTCAATATGAAGTAAGAAAGTTGGTGCCAACTTTTGGCACACCCTGTATATCAGGAATTAAATGAGTACTCTGTTTTATTTTGCAGTGCAACAGTTATAGATTAATAAATATAATTCAAGAATGTATTTCACAACCTGTTTTTTTCATTAATAACAAGGAAGAAATAGTACCTACTTTTTCAGAGAGATAACTTCTGATCATTTTAATGATTTTGAATAAAATAGAATAGAATAGAATCCAATGATCTCCTAATATCAAATAATGATATGACAGGTCAAAAAGAACAAATTAAAAATGAAAAGTCTAGTTGAAACTAGAGCATTTACCTTAAAATATTAAAATTGGCCAATGATATAGGTCAATAAATACAATATACAATAACATAATACATAATACACAACCAGGCAGAAAATTTCAACAAAGCATTCATAATTTTGGCCATTAAAATGTTTGAGTCTTTTTTACTAAACAAAAATGTTGAATTATCTGCATAAAGAGTGGTAAAAGACTCTGGTACAACAGGAGGCAACTCATTTATGTAAAGGATAAATAACAGGGGCCCAAGTATGGATCCCTGTGGAACTTCTTGTGCATTTACCATAAGATCAGACATATATGTATTTCCTCCATCAAAGATTTCTGTTATCATTCATTGATAGATTGATTACTTACTGTGAATAGAACAAAATACTTCTGATTGTTTTCTCCAACACAATTATTTACCCAAGGGCAGTGGTGATCCATCTTCCTTATACATCTATAAATCAATTTCTAAAATAAAAGGACCTGTGTTTGATTGAAAATAATTTTCTGACCTTTGACAAACAGAACAATGATGAGCCCTATCTGGTTTAATACTGCAACATTTGGGGCACTTGAATATTACTTGACCCTCCCTGAATCCCATCTGTTTGATCATCTCTTTTGTAGCATTGCCCTTGGGAACAGCTCCCTAAAAATATGGAACTAGTCAATAGTTGCTGCCTCAATTTTGTGTTTCTTTCTAACACTTACAGGATCAGTAAACATTGTTTTGAAATGAGATGTCAAAGCTAAAAATGCACATGTTTGGAAAATAATCATATTAATAATACTATAAATTGGATATGGACTTGGAATGAGTATAACGGACATGACGACGAATTCGGCGTATAGGATCAATAGCCATGTCAAAATTGCACATATTATTCCACAAATGTCCCTGATGCACCACAGTACTCCACCACAGCACCTATTATGAAAGTCAGATTCTTTTCTGAATGACCCGTATTCATATTCCATCATGATTTGGATTCTACTCTTCTGAAAGGAGCAGTATGCCAGTTCTGAATTTATTAAGGGGGCCACTTATGTCCTTCATTCATTAACATCATATTCTGACACACAAGTAGGTTCTAATCGAATACATTTTGTAGCAATATGTATTTTGCCTATGAACGAACAATAGTACAGATACTTATTCCACAATTCAGCATTCTAGCATAGAATAATATAAATACAGTTTGATTTGAAAACATTTACATTCTCATTATTTTCTAACCTAAACTTTTTGACGTTTTCGTTTTTTTCACTTGTCATTTGTCATGATTATAAAATAAAATAAAGTGACTGCTCGCTAAAAAAACGAGTGCCTGCAGACAATTCCCGCACACATGAATCAAATATTCTGGCTTCCTACGCACGACTGAGTGAGCACCATCTGAGCACACGAAGCGGGATAAAAAAATCCCTTCTTCGAACGGGAATTATCTAGTGATAGTAGTAACCCACTACTAGCACAGTATATTATCCTGAACGTTATCTCGTTCAAAATATTATAATACTGTGCTAGTACTGCTAGTACCTTGTAGTCAGCTCGTGGTATAGTTCTCCTACGCCAAGCGTCAGCATGCCATGCCTGCGGCGATGATGGAAGTAAGATATGGTGTGCGTATTCGGCCATTATTACGTATTGAAAATTTCAGAAAAATCACTCGACCAGCCTACTATGATTTCTCTACGTCACAACGAGCGAGACGTTAATTCTACACTTTCCCGCTAGATGGTGATGCTGCTATTGCTGCTGTGACGAGTGGAAATAAAATGGCAAATGCCATTTTAGGTACGCGGAACATATGTAACAGTGGGATTAAACAACTCTGAATTCGAAAAATCTGCGACAATTTCAAAACTAACAGAAGTCATAATTGTGCAATGTCGCCATCTATTAGAAGATCAACGGAACCATTGCTCTCGCTGCTCTCGAGAGGTCGAGTAAAATTTCTGAAACAAAAGCGCATCAGTAATTACACCATATCTTACTTCCACCATTCCTGCGGCCTAGGGTTAAATCCTTAGGAGGGACAACTATTTTTTTAATTTCGTTCTCAAGTAATTTTTAGAATATATTTTCTTCGTAAAATCTGATTTTTTGTAGAGGTCGACGAAAATTATATTTCTCAGAAAAAAAAAGGTTCTATTAGGCCGAGTTCGGTTAAATTGCTTAGAAGAAGTAAGCTCCTTTCCCATGTTATGAATAACTAGAGAAGAATAATGTATCACAGAATAGATTGACAATCGAGAGCAATAATAGAGCAAAACACTTTCCCCTCTCACGACACGACATCCTCTTTGAAGACATAAGTGCTCAAAAGTGTCAGTTGATTGTTACACGTTTCTGAGTTCTTCTGGTTATAAACCCATGGTGGGCACAGATGACAGTTTACAACTCACAGCGGAAAGATGGATAATAAAGCGCGGACTGTTCACATGCGAAGAACAAATTCAGAGCGGACAAGAAAATAATATAATAATATCGTTCCTGATGTTAAGAGTTCTTTTTTTTTATGGAATAGTGGAATCATATAAAGGTGGATATCTTGAGACCGAAGAAATTACTAGTTCTTCAAAATTCGTACTATTGCCACCCTTATCAGGTTCTGAGGTGTTTGACCGAGTGTTCGACATCAACACTATTTCGGTAGCAAGGTCAGTTTGTCGCTTCACAACAATCTCTGATACATATTATCATCCACTAACAGGGATATTTCCTCTTCTGACAGAGTTTTTAACATATTATTATCCAATAAAGAGGAAAATAATTTTCAGGTTTGAATTCATAAGGACAAAATATAATAATATTTACCATTCGACAGGATTTGGAAATCTCCTTCTGATACTGAGAAAGACACTACTGTCCTTTTACTTCAATATAAATATGAAACAAATTTTTCATTTCCTTTTCAGAATAAAGATCTAAAACAAAAATCGAGACAAAAATATTCAGTTTTACGGTTAAACTACAAGTATCAAATATCAGCTTTTTTCTATTTTTCTATAAAATGTTCAAACTGTTTGAACTTTTTTCGCATATTGACCTTGAAACGAACTTTCTTTCATTCCGATATCAGAATCCGAAGCGTTATAAGCTGAAATGCGAAAGGCTGTCATCTGTACCCAGCATTAGACAGAGCACAGATAGAAACTTTTTTATTATTTTGAGGAATAAGAAGAAGAACTGGAAAAGAAAGAAGAAGAAAACCTCAAACATAAACATAACCTTGTATCTACAAAATTTTCAAAAATATTATGCTTGCAAAATGCAAATAATGCGACGAAGAAAATGAAAACAATGTGAAATCCTAGAAACTTGATCTGCAATCGTTACAATCAAATAGCAAGAATTGCCGGCCTTATTACCGCAACAAAATGAGCGAAGCCGTTTCCCTTATTCTAAACGACATTCTCAAAGTCGAAGGCATAGAAGAGGCCTTCAGCTGCTTCCTCGTGCACAAAGCCAACAGCGAGACCGAAAAAATCTCGCTATGGCAACAAGAGCTCGGCACGGCCTTCCGGGGTACCAACTCTGAGCAGCTGGACTCAGTTCTGAGACAGTTTCTGAGCGTCGCTTCCAAATGCTCGCTCAGTCGCCTACAGCTACTCATGGAGCTCCTGGAGACCGCCGTAAAAACAGGCAAGTCCATAGTATTCATATGTTATCAAAACAATGCTGTCTACTCCTTTACCAAACAATTTGGCTTGGTCTTTGAAAAAGAATGTGTGTGTTATGTTTCTTATATCTTTAGGTACTCTACCTGCAAGGAAAGTGTGTGAAATCATCATTACTAGTGACACTCTGCAACATAACAACAAACATTTTTGGGTGGAATCTTTCAAACTCATCAAGAAAATTATTGATATGGTTGAATATAAAGGAGTTCGAGAAATCATGAAGGTAAGATCTGTATCAAGTTACCAATAAATTGAAAAGTGAATAAGTAAGTAACTTGCATGCAAACCCAAGGACCTATATTTTTTGTGTGAAAAATTGTGATGTTCCTAGTATTCCAAGACAATAATCTATGCTGCTGCTGTATACTGTAATGCAATTTTTTTATGGAGTAACAATTGAGCCAAATTTTAATTTGATTTTCCAAATCATTTTGAACACTTATTGGAAGAGTTTTCTTCCTATATCTTTGTAGTTGGCTATGTGGTCATATCAAACCAAGTATCAATGAAATTGTGATGATTTTGATTAAGATGGCTACATGTAGCCATATTAATTTTGATGGTACTAAAATGTCAATCCATGAATGTCATCATTGTCATCAATGCTCAATGCATTTGGTTTTGGTCTGTATTGATTGAATTGATTTGTATGTTTTTGTGATGAATAAACTGATTCTGATTCTGATTCTAGCATTTCTGAACATAAAAAAACAATACAATATTCTATTATTCCTATATGTATATGTTGCTAATCTACAATTATTCGAAATTTTCATGTAGCTAGAATGTACATCAGTAATAAAAATAGAGGATATTATTCCATTTGATATATTTTAATTTTTCATCTAATTTTCTTCATTGGATTTATTGATATTCTTCAAAATTTCTTGAAAATTCCCAAAAAATTCTCAAATTCTCCATTTTCATCAAAAATCAAAAGGTTGCTCAACAATACTTTTCACCCTGTGAATTTCACGAGGTGGATGCAGTAAGGGAAATTCCTTCATTTCCTACAAAATGTCCTGTAGTTTCTCCACATTATTCCACAAACTTCAAAATCCTTTGAAATTCCTCAACACATAATTTGTTCAGTTCCTGCTGTTAGAGGTTGAACACATATTGAATTCCTTGAAATTCCTTGAAAACCTGAAAAATTCCTCTTAATTTACTATTTCTTTTGTGATATTTTCCTTAAAATTCAAAATTCTCATTACAGCACAAAAAAGTGCTGAGGCAGTCTTTGGGGACTGCCAATAGAAGTGAAAATGAGGTAACTGGTGAATTGTATCGTCGAGATATTAGATTATTATTTTTTTACTCCTTTTCAGTTCACTTGAATCTCCCAATTTTGACAAATGATTCATAATCTCCAACCCCATAAACCCCCAGATACAAATTTGTAATAGATTCGGATCATATATATCGAATCCACCATCTTGCAATTCCTTATTACGACGAAGGAATCATAATGTCCGTCCCCGAAAACCCTCAGATTTAAATTTTGTATAAGTCAAATCATAATTACAAAACTCGTGCGCCATATTGGAACTGTCATCTTGAATTTACAAAATTTGACGACAGAAACGAAATCTCCGACCCCGAAAAACACCAGATACGAATTATGAATAGAATCGGGTCGTAATTATTACAAAACTCATCCGCCATATTCGTTCTGTTTTCTAAGATTTTCATATTTCGACGAAAGAATCATAATCTCCAACCCCTGAAACCCCCAGATACCGATTTCCAATAGATTCGGATCAGTTATTACAAAACTCGTCCGCCATATTGGATCCGTCATCATGAGATTTCATATTTTGATGAAAGAATCATTATCTCCGACCCCGAAAACCCCCAGATACAAATTTCGAATAGAATCGGATCGTAATTATTACTACACTCGTACGCCAAATTGGCTCCGCCATATTGGCTCCGCCATCGTGAATTTTCATATTTTGACGAAAGAATCATAATCTCCGACCCCTAAAACTCCCAGCTAGCAATTTCGAATGGAATCGGATCATAATCATTACCAAACTCGTCCGCCATATTGGATCCGCCATCTTGAATTTTCATATTTTGACGAAAAAAATATAATCTCCGACCTCGAAACCCCCCAAATACCAATTTCGAATAGAATCGGATTATAATTATTATAAAACTATTCCGCCAAATTGGTTCCGCCATCTTGAATTTCCATATTTTGACGAATAAATCATAATCTCCGACCCCGAAAATGTCCAGATACCAATTTTGACGAATAGAGTCTGATGATAATTACAATACTGCTCTGACATATTTGATCCGCCATCTTGATTTTTTCTCAATAAGAAATATCCTATGTCCTTCCTAATACATCCAAGAATATGTATACAAAGTTTCATGATGATCTGTTGAGTAGTTTTGGCCTGCAGCCTCTAACCCAAGCCTTGATGGATTTCGCCGCCAAAATCATGGACCGCTCCTACCTGGCTACCTCTTGGTCAACGAGCTGAAAAAAGCCTATCCGGACTGCCCACACTGGCGGCTGTCTGCCCTCTTCTAAAATCCTTGTAATGTCTCAAAATTTCTCGGAATTCCTTGACATTTTTAGGAATTCTTTGAAAATCACATCGTGTTAATCATTCCTAGGGCTGTTGCGAAAAGGCCAAACTACTCCCCTGGCGTCTCGATGCTGGACTGCAGCCTCAAACCCAAGCCTTGATGGATTTCGCCGCCAAAATCATGGACCGCGACGTCTGTCTCCTGCCCGGCTACCTCTTGGTCAACGAGCTGCAAAAAGCCTACCCGGACTGCCCGCACTGGCGGCTGTCCGCCCTCTTCTAAAATCCTTGAAACCTCTCGAAATTTCTCGAAATTCCTTGACATTTTTTGGAATTCTTTGATGATCACACCGCTCAAATCATTCCTAGGGCTGTTGCGAAAAGGCCAAACTACTCCCCTGGCGTCTCGATGCTGGACTGCAGCCTCAAACACAAGCCTTGATGGATTTCGCCGCCAAAATCATGGACCGCGACGTCTGTCTCCTGCCCGGCTACCTCTTGGTCAACGAGCTGCAGAAAGCCTACCCGGACTGCCCACACTGGCGACTGTCCGCCCTCTTCTAAAATCCTTAAGACCTCTCGACATTTCTCGGAATTCCTTGACATTTTTTGTTTTTTTTTTATAATCACACCGTGTAAATCATTCCTAGGGCTGTTGCGAAAAGGCCAAACTACTTCCCTGGCGTCTGGATGCCGGACTGCAGCCTCAAACCCAAGCCTTGATGGATTTCGCCGCTAAAATCATGGACCGCGACGTCTGTCTCTTGCTCGGCTACCTCTTGGTCAACGAGCTGCAAAAAGCCTACCCGGACTGCCCACACTGGCGGCTGTCCACCCTCTTCTAAAATCCTTGAAACTTCTCGATTTTTCTCGGAATTCCTTGATTTAGGAATTCTTTGAAAATCACACCGTGTTAATCATTCCTAGGGCTGTTGCGAAAAGGCCAAACTCCTACCCTGGCGTCTCGATGCCGGACTGCAGCCTCAAACCCAAGCCTTGATGGATTTTGCCGCCAAAATCATGGACCGCGACGTCTGTCTTCTGCCCGGCTACCTCTTGGTCAACGAGCTGCAAAAAGCCTACCCGGACTGCCCGCACCGGCGGCTGTCTGCCCTCTTCTGAAATCCTTCAAACCTCTCGGAATTGTTTGACATTTCTTGGAATTTTTTGATAATCACACCGTTTAAAATCATTTATAGGGCTGTTGCGAAAAGGCCAAACTTCTCCCCTGGCGTCTCGATGCTAGACTGCAGCCTCAAACCCAAGCCTTGATGGATTTCGCCGCCAAAATCATGGACCGCGACGTCTGTCTCCTGCCCGGCTACCTCTTGGTCAACGAGCTGCAAAAAGCCTACCCGGACTGCCCGCACTGGCGGCTGTCCGCCCTCTTCTAAAATCCTTGAAACCTCTCGAAATTTCTCGAAATTCCTTGACATTTTTTGGAATTCTTTGATGATCACACCGCTCAAATCATTCCTAGGGCTGTTGCGAAAAGGCCAAACTACTCCCCTGGCGTCTCGATGCTGGACTGCAGCCTCAAACCCAAGCCTTGATGGATTTCGCCGCCAAAATCATGGACCGCGACGTCTGTCTCCTGCCCGGCTACCTCTTGGTCAACGAGCTGCAGAAAGCCTACCCGGACTGCCCACACTGGCGACTGTCCGCCCTCTTCTAAAATCCTTGAGACCTCTCGACATTTCTCGGAATTCCTTGACATTTTTTGTTTTTTTTTTTATAATCACACCGTGTAAATCATTCCTAGGGCTGTTGCGAAAAGGCCAAACTACTTCCCTGGCGTTTGGATGCCGGACTGCAGAATCAAACCCAAGCCTTGATGGATTTCGCCGCTGAAATCATGGACCGCGACGTCTGTCTCTTGCTCGGCTACCTCTTGGTCAACGAGCTGCAAAAAGCCTACCCGGACTGCCCACACTGGCGGCTGTCCACCCTCTTCTAAAATCCTTGAAACTTCTCGATTTTTCTCGGAATTCCTTGATTTAGGAATTCTTTGAAAATCACACCGTGTTAATCATTCCTAGGGCTGTTGCGAAAAGGCCAAACTACTTCCCTGGCGTCTGGATGCCGGACTGCAGCCTCAAACCCAAGCCTTGATGGATTTCGCCGCCAAAATCATGGACCGCGACGTCTGTCTCCTGCCCGGCTACCTCTTGGTCAACGAGCTGCAAAAAGCCTACCCGGACTGCCCGCACTGGCGGCTGTCCGCCCTCTTCTAAAATCCTTGAAACCTCTCGAAATTTCTCGAAATTCCTTGACATTTTTTGGAATTCTTTGATGATCACACCGCTCAAATCATTCCTAGGGCTGTTGCGAAAAGGCCAAACTACTCCCCTGGCGTCTCGATGCTGGACTGCAGCCTCAAACCCAAGCCTTGATGGATTTCGCCGCCAAAATCATGGACCGCGACGTCTGTCTCCTGCCCGGCTACCTCTTGGTCAACGAGCTGCAGAAAGCCTACCCGGACTGCCCACACTGGCGACTGTCCGCCCTCTTCTAAAATCCTTGAGACCTCTCGACATTTCTCGGAATTCCTTGACATTTTTTGTTTTTTTTTTAATAATCACACCGTGTAAATCATTCCTAGGGCTGTTGCGAAAAGGCCAAACTACTTCCCTGGCGTCTGGATGCCGGACTGCAGCCTCAAACCCAAGCCTTGATGGATTTCGCCGCTAAAATCATGGACCGCGACGTCTGTCTCTTGCTCGGCTACCTCTTGGTCAACGAGCTGCAAAAAGCCTACCCGGACTGCCCACACTGGCGGCTGTCCACCCTCTTCTAAAATCCTTGAAACTTCTCGATTTTTCTCGGAATTCCTTGATTTAGGAATTCTTTGAAAATCACACCGTGTTAATCATTCCTAGGGCTGTTGCGAAAAGGCCAAACTCCTACCCTGGCGTCTCGATGCCGGACTGCAGCCTCAAACCCAAGCCTTGATGGATTTTGCCGCCAAAATCATGGACCGCGACGTCTGTCTCCTGCCCGGCTACCTCTTGGTCAACGAGCTGCAGAAAGCCTACCCGGACTGCCCACACTGGCGACTGTCCGCCCACTTCTAAAACCCTTGAAACACCTCGAAATTTCTTAGAATTCCTTGAGATATTGTGAAATTCTTTGATTATCACACCGTCCAAATCATTCCTAGGGCTGTTGCGAAAAGGCCAAACTACTTCCCTGGCGTCTCGATGCCGGACTGCAGCCTCAAACCCAAGCCTTGATGGATTTTGCCGCCAAAATCATGGACCGCGACGTCTGTCTCCTGCCCGGCTACCTCTTGGTCAACGAGCTGCAAAAAGCCTACCCGGACTGCCCGCACTGGCGGCTGTCCGCCCTCTTCTAAAATCCTTGAGACCTCTCGACATTTCTCGGAATTCCTTGACATTTTTTGTTTTTTTTTTATAATCACACCGTGTAAATCATTCCTAGGGCTGTTGCGAAAAGGCCAAACTACTTCCCTGGCGTCTGGATGCCGGACTGCAGCCTCAAACCCAAGCCTTGATGGATTTCGCCGCTAAAATCATGGACTGCGACGTCTGTCTCTTGCTCGGCTACCTCTTGGTCAACGAGCTGCAAAAAGCCTACCCGGACTGCCCACACTGGCGGCTGTCCACCCTCTTCTAAAATCCTTGAAACTTCTCGATTTTTCTCGGAATTCCTTGATTTAGGAATTCTTTGAAAATTACACCGTGTTAATCATTCCTAGGGCTGTTGCGAAAAGGCCAAACTCCTACCCTGGCGTCTCGATGCCGGACTGCAGCCTCAGACCCAAGCCTTGATGGATTTCGCCGCCAAAATCATGGACCGCTCCTACCTGGCTACCTCTTGGTCAACGAGCTGCAAAAAGCCTATCCGGACTGCCCACACTGGCGGCTGTCTGCCCTCTTCTAAAATCCTTGAAATGTCTCAAAATTTCTCGGAATTCCTTGACATTTTTAGGAATTCTTTGAAAATCACATCGTGTTAATCATTCCTAGGGCTGTTGCGAAAAGGCCAAACTACTCCCCTGGCGTCTCGATGCTGGACTGCAGCCTCAAACCCAAGCCTTGATGGATTTCGCCGCCAAAATCATGGACCGCGACGTCTGTCTCCTGCCCGGCTACCTCTTGGTCAACGAGCTGCAGAAAGCCTACCCGGACTGCCCACACTGGCGACTGTCCGCCCACTTCTAAAACCCTTGAAACACCTCGAAATTTCTTAGAATTCCTTGAGATATTGTGAAATTCTTTGATTATCACACCGTCCAAATCATTCCTAGGGCTGTTGCGAAAAGGCCAAACTACTTCCCTGGCGTCTCGATGCCGGACTGCAGCCTCAAACCCAAGCCTTGATGGATTTTGCCGCCAAAATCATGGACCGCGACGTCTGTCTCCTGCCCGGCTACCTCTTGGTCAACGAGCTGCAAAAAGCCTACCCGGACTGCCCGCACTGGCGGCTGTCCGCCCTCTTCTAAAATCCTTGAGACCTCTCGACATTTCTCGGAATTCCTTGACATTTTTTGTTTTTTTTTTATAATCACACCGTGTAAATCATTCCTAGGGCTGTTGCGAAAAGGCCAAACTACTTCCCTGGCGTCTGGATGCCGGACTGCAGCCTCAAACCCAAGCCTTGATGGATTTCGCCGCTAAAATCATGGACCGCGACGTCTGTCTCTTGCTCGGCTACCTCTTGGTCAACGAGCTGCAAAAAGCCTACCCGGACTGCCCACACTGGCGGCTGTCCACCCTCTTCTAAAATCCTTGAAACTTCTCGATTTTTCTCGGAATTCCTTGATTTAGGAATTCTTTGAAAATCACACCGTGTTAATCATTCCTAGGGCTGTTGCGAAAAGGCCAAACTCCTACCCTGGCGTCTCGATGCCGGACTGCAGCCTCAAACCCAAGCCTTGATGGATTTTGCCGCCAAAATCATGGACCGCGACGTCTGTCTTCTGCCCGGCTACCTCTTGGTCAACGAGCTGCAAAAAGCCTACCCGGACTGCCCGCACCGGCGGCTGTCTGCCCTCTTCTGAAATCCTTCAAACCTCTCGGAATTGTTTGACATTTCTTGGAATTTTTTGATAATCACACCGTTTAAAATCATTTATAGGGCTGTTGCGAAAAGGCCAAACTACTCCCCTGGCGTCTCGATGCTGGACTGCAGCCTCAAACCCAAGCCTTGATGGATTTCGCCGCCAAAATCATGGACCGCGACGTCTGTCTCCTGCCCGGCTACCTCTTGGTCAACGAGCTGCAAAAAGCCTACCCGGACTGCCCGCACTGGCGGCTGTCCGCCCTCTTCTAAAATCCTTGAAACCTCTCGAAATTTCTCGAAATTCCTTGACATTTTTTGGAATTCTTTGATGATCACACCGCTCAAATCATTCCTAGGGCTGTTACGAAAAGGCCAAACTACTTCCCTGGCGTCTCGATGCCGGACTGCAGCCTCAAACCCAAGCCTTGATGGATTTCGCCTCCAAAATTATGGACCGCGACGTCTATTTCCTGTCCGGCTACCTCTTGGTCAACGAGCTGCAAAAAGCCTACCTGGACTGCCCGCACTGGCGGCTGTCTGCCCTCTTCTAAAATCCTTGAAACCTCTCGAAATTTCTCGAAATTCCTTGACATTTTTTGGAATTCTTTGATAATCACACCGTTCAAATCATTCTTAGGGCTGTTGCGAAAAGGCCAAACTACTTCCCTGGCGTCTCGATGCCGGACTGCAGCCTCAAACCCAAGCTTTGATGGATTTCGCCGCTAAAATCATGGACCGCGACGTCTGTCTTCTGCCCGGCTACCTCTTGGTCAACGAGTTGCAAAAAGCCTACCCGGACTGCCCGCACTGGCGGCTGTCTGCCCTCTTCGCCGACTACGTTGATGGGTTCCGCGCGTGCGCGCAGATGGTCTCGGTGGTGGGGCAGGCGGAAATGCGGCCTGTGGTCGAGCACAGCGGCTGCCCCGAGCTGCTGGTCAATCCGTGGAAGTTGGACCCGCTCACGTTGAGGTTCAATCTCAAAGGTAAGTGGGGCAGTGGTCGCACTGATGCAGTGCACTAAAAATCTCAATGAAACGGTACTGAAACTTACTGTAAGAAAGCTACTATAAATAGGTTTTTTTCATTCATTAGAATATCGAACATTGCCCAGTATATTTCAAAGTTCATCGAAATCGAGAGCCGAACCGAAATAATAGTTTACAACCCTATTGTAGCTAGTAGGTATAAAGCACGGTCTCTAATAGCCCTCAGTTGACCGCAAATGAATTTTAATAGATTCAGTTTTCATATGTTGCGAATACTTATATTCAAGTGACTATTGTCCTATTAGTAGAAATGCTATCGAGAGATATAGTTGTTGGTTTTTTTACTATGCCTTTTTTCCAACAACCCGATATCATTTTTGGATTGTAAAACGGACAAAGCTAGCTCAGTCAATCTGAACGAGGTCCAAATAGTTTTTTTTTCTTCAAACACATAATGTAAAGGGTCTGAGATGAGTTTATTGCTTTCTGCCCTTGCAAAGGCAACCATATTATACTACGTATACTATCTTGAAAAAATAACTTGTCAAGTGAATCTTGTTGGATTTGAACCATATGTTGAATGTTATTTATGGACCCGGATGTAGGCTATTTGAAGCCTTAGGTCACTCCCCCACTATCTTCCAAGCTGAAATACATGCCATCAACCTTTGCGTCCAAAGGTGCCTGAGCAAAGGTCTGAGGGGTGCCAACATATATATCTGCTCAGACAGCCAAGCCGCATTAAAAGCCCTAAAATCATTCGTTTTCACATCAAAGATTACATGGGACTGCTTTGAAACACTCATGCAACTGCGAAAGGGCAACAAAGTCACACTTATGTGGGTTCCAGGGCATGAAGGAATCAAAGGAAATGAGGCAGCTGATCGCCTTGCAAAAAAAAGGTGCAGCATCTGCACTTTTTGGTCCTGAGCCTTTTTGTGGGATAAGCGAATGTCACCTGAAGGGAGAACTCGGGAAATGGGAAGAAATTGAAAAGAGAGAGCAACTCCAGGTCAACGACAAGCGAAAAGGTTCATCAACCATTCGCAGAACCGAGCCAAAGAGCTACTCAGCCTCAGCAAACCAGAGCTAAAGCTTATCACAGGCTTTCTCACAGGACACGGCCCTCTGAGGTACCACCTCAAGTAGATGGGTCTGGCGGAGACTGACACTTGCCGCTTTTGTAACATTGCGACCGAAACCGCGGAATACATACTTTGCTCATGTGAAGTATTAGTCCGCCAAAGGCTGAACCAACTAGAACAGGTCTATCTCACCCCTGCTGAAGTGGAAAAGTCAACCGTCAGGAAAATCGTAGGCTTCATCAGAAGTCTAGGGTTAGAGGACCAAAACTAGATAGGGGTAATCACAATAGATCTTCTAGGTCGCAGTGATCGAGAGGTCTCTCAGCCTATACGACCCATCTACAATCTACAAATCTACATGGTTTCCTTTTTGCATGGATCCATTCATAGTTGAAAGATTTCTAAATACCACCCAAACGAAGGAATAACATCACATGATTGGCCAGATATAATTTGGCGCTCTGTTCAGTTGTGTCATGTGATCCCTTTTCCAGGTTTATTTGAGATTGAGAGTAAAGTTAAAGTAATTGTTTTATCATTGTTTCAAATAATAACTAAAGAGTGTCTCAAAGTAGAGTAAAAAAAAGACTTTGATTAAAGAGTATGCAAGCACAGATATTTTACTAGTGCGATGCATATTACGCGTAGATGTGTCACTAGCTGGTAGCTGGGACTCCAGATATAGAAGGTAAGTTGATTATGAAATATTGTGAATGATTATGTGGCATTTCAATACGATTTATTCAAGAACCTACTTACCGACCTGTCTCGCTCGGCAAGAAATACTTTTTGTTAGAAATTAATATTATATTAAATGAGGTGGTTTCAAGACAGGTAAATCAATTAGTGATCAGGATAGGTTAATTGCTTATCAGAGACCACCTCGTTTACAGTACCGAATGAGTAGTGACTCATTCTTTAACAGTTCTGATAGCTGACATTTGAGATTTTGCACAACATATGGTAGTTGTGAATTATGAATTTAATATTGGAATATAAGCTCCAGAAACTAGCTTAATGTATTTTGATTAATAATATTTTATTAAAATCTATGGACCTAGTTCTCATTGTTGGATCGTCATCGATGAATCCTCTCTATTTCAGCCAACCTAATCTGTCCTATAGTGTCTGTGTGTCTGTAATCAAACATTGCAAGTTAAATAAATATCTAATTGATTGATTCAAAATTTCGCAGGATGATTCATCATACAATTTTTGTTAGAGAAAAATGGCTGCTCCAAAATGTCGGACGAGTTTTGTGATTATGACATGATTCTATTCAAAATTTGTATCTGGGGGGTTTTCGGTTTCGGAGATTATGATTCATTCATCAAAATTGGGATATTCTTGATGGCGGAGGCATTCTAATTATGATCCTATTCTATTTAAGATTGGTATGTGGGGGTTTTTTGGGTAAGAAATTATGATTCTCTCATCAAAAATTGAGAAATTCAAGATGGCGGCTTCAAAATGTTGGATAAGTTTTGTGAATATGACCCGAAATAGAAAAATGAATATTATATAAAACACAATTTTTGAAGACAAGCTTTTATAATAACGCTCTTAAAAGAACAAAATGATGTCATGTTTGATCTAGTTTATTCTGTGAGTAAAGAAATTCAAAAGTTTGCCGCGGATACTTGCGCGGTAAGATTTCGAATCAAACTTCAAAGTTATGGAAATAAAAAAAGAAACAAGTTGAAATTCATATAAAGTAGACAATAACAGAGCAAACCGAGACAAACCAAACAAATGATTCATGCTCCATGATGAAAGTTGTGTGTTTGTATAGAATTAAGAGGGTTGGGTTCGTATTTTATAAGGGCCCACAGGAAAATACCAAACTATAAAGTACGATGCGGCATCAGAAGTAACCAATAAATTGAAATGAATCAATTGTGCAGTGACACTTATTATCATTTTTATCATTAAATACTGTCTGTAGGTTTATCAAGGAGGTGGTACATTCATTATTCCAGATTTTCTTGGGAGTTTCTCTCATCGTCTCTATAAAATGAAAATATGAATACTATTTCAATATACGTATAGAGGGGACAAATCATATGATTTGCCCCAAAATGTCACTGCGTTTATAGAATTTTCCTATCAGAGAGCCTAAAAGAAAAATTCACCAGATTGTCAGTAACAATTTGTATTGAAAAAGGTTTGTAGAAGAGAAATAAAGTTATATAGAAAGAAATATCAAATTTCCACTCATCTTTGGACGTTTCGGGAACGAATCTGCTCCCTTTTTCAACATAAAAAATTGATTTTCAATACTTTCACCCAGTCAAGGGGTTCATACTTGAACGATGGAAAATTGTTATTTTTATAGACCTTAATCGCAGATTCGTGATTAGGTTTTTTCTCAATTCAGAATTTCTTTCCATGTCCTGTATGATGAATTTCAATGTATCATACATAAAAAAATGAGTGGTATAGCTCACAGCAACTTTTATTGAGAATGATCAAATATCACTCGTAAGGGTACATGTTTTATTTCAGGCTTATATAAAAGCCCATCATTGACCGATAAGAAGTTCAAATTTATGGACATAAAAAAAGAAACAAGATGATATTCAAATAAAGTATACAATAACAGAGTAAACCAAGACAAACCAACCAAATCCTCCATGATGAAAGTTGAGTATTTGTATAGAAAGACGAGGGTCGAGTTCATATTTTATAAGGGCCCACAGGAAAATATCAAACTATAGTGTATGATGAGGCATCAGAAGTAACCAATAAATTGAAATGAATCACTTGTGCAGTGACACTTATTATCACTTTCATTATTATTCCCCATCCAGGCACCCTACCCTACGCTTCCTCCCTTCTGGAAAAACAGACCGGCTTGTTACGGTACGTGCTCGAGCAGCCCTACAGCCGCGACATGGTGTGCGGCATGCTGGGGCTGAACAAGCAGCACAAGCAGCACTGTCAGGCGATCGAGGAGCAGCTGGTCGAGCTGGTCGTGTTGGCCTTGGAGAGGACGGAGGCGGAGGGGGAGGAAAGGGCGACGCAGGACCTGTGGCTGCACCTGTCCTCGCAGCTGATCTACTTCGTGCTGTTCCAGTTCGCGAGTTTTCCGTCGTTGGTTATGTCGCTGCATTCCAGGTGAGAGGGAGCTTGTTTTTAACATGCTTTTATTGAACAAAACAAAAGGAGAAAAAAAGTTTAACTCACAGTCGGTCGACCACAATCTATACTACTAATATTATAAATGTGAATGTAAGTGTGTTTGTCGGGCTTCCACGCCAAAACTACTCCACCGATTATCATGAAACTTAGTTTAATCATGAAAATCATCCATATCTCAAAGTGGTCCAATGTAATTTCGAGAGAATGAAAGAAAACAACACAAAGTCGGTCGACCACACTTTATATAAAAAACTTCCTAAAATTATATTATGACAATAATGAGGACAAAACAATTTTTATAAACATACCAAACAATATGGGACTCAAAATGTAAAAACAAGGACTTGATACGGGAAATTACGTTGTAGCTATTTTCATTGACCTTAAAAAGGCATTTGATACAGTTGACCATAAGAATCTCTTAGAATACTTGGAATCGATGGGACTCAGAAGCATTGTTAAAAATCTTTTAGAGTCTTATCTTGCAAATAGGACAATCAGCACTAAATGTAATATGTCAGAGTCTAATAAATTTCCAATAAGTAAAGGTGTTCCACAGGGATCTGTTTTAGGGCCCATTTTGTATTTATTATATATTCAAAATATTTCTAAAATTGGATTGTCAGGTAATTATACTATTATGCAGAAGATACTGTACTTTTATACGAAAACAAAAACCCCATCATTCTAGAAAATATTATTAACGAAGATTTGAAAAAATTTGAAAAATGGCTTTATTCAAACATTTTATCAATTAACACCAATAAAACTGAATATATAATATGCCATCAGAAAAATAAACAGAATATTAGTCTCAATCTCCAAATTAAAAATAAAGTATTGAAAAGAACTACACAAATAAAGTATCTTGGTTTGTGGATTGATGAAAAATTGAAATGGGACAAGCATATAGAGGTTCTGATACAAAAAATATCTCCAATCATTGGAGCTTTGCGAAGATGTCCTAAACTTGACAAAAAAGTCATAAACATAGTACTTCATTCTCATATACTCAGTCGTATTACCTATATGATAAACGTTTGGGGATCTTGTTCAAAATATTATTTCAGTAAAATATCTGCACTTCATAAGAAAGCACTGAAAGTATTGTACCGCCTCTCATTTGATATCCCAACAAATGATCTGTATGCGATAACAGAAAAATTCTCATTGGATGAATGATATAAATTAGATTCTCTTAAAGTTTCATATAATATAATAAACAATAATCTGAAATCCAATTTTGTTTTGGTAAGAAACTCAGAAATTCATGGTCATCACACGAGACAATTAAACTTATTTCATCTTGATTCTGCTACTTCTATAATTGGCCAAAAAAAAATTACTCACGCTGCTCTAGCTGAATTTAATAAATTACCACATAATATAAAAAATTGCAGACATATTTCAAAATTTAAAATTGAAATAAAAAAACACATGATTTCATTACGAAATGGATAAAATTGATACTTTGCCATCTTCTGATTAGTCCCTGTGACTATTTTTATTACTTGATCGATTTAGCATTTTTAGATTTTTTTAGATTTTTATTGTTGTTGTCACCTTATATTACTTTATGATTGTTGTTTGTAATCAACTTCCTCATACCAGAATTCTATGTCTGACTGGAAGCCAGTTTTTCAATCAACAATAAACAATGGTGAGCACAAAAGATTTCGTCAATGGGTTGGAAGAATCTGTAGCATTGTGGCTCTGATAAGGTTGAACATGGTTTCTAGAAAAATTGTTTTTGTACAAACAACATAAGTTTGGCGTCAGTACTTTAAGGAAGTCATTCCACCAGACGGTAACAACTTGAACTCTGAGCGGTTTGTTTTGGTGATGTAAAGGAACTGAAATTGTAAAAATTGACAGTTATGAAAGGAAAACTTTGACGTTGGACACGTCGGACACGAAACAAAAATTAGTGAGTGACATGTGCTAAAATGACACAATAGATCTTAAGGTAACTAAGAAGAGAACAGTTGAGAAGAAAAAAACTGAGCATGTAGGAAACAGATCAAAGAAAAAGAAGAAGAAGAGAATAGAACAAAAGAAGTGAAAAGTGTAACAGAGAAATGAGAAGAAGGGAGGGAGGAATAGACAATCAGATATCCAGATGCGGAGAGATAACTGCAAAGAAGGCGATCACCAATAAGAGTCATGACAATTTAAAAGTCCTGAAAATGTGGTCAAGTTCGAAATTGGTTTGATCATTAAGACATGAAACATTCTGGTTGATGATGCATTTCATACCGCAACCCGCTCTCCAACTTCCTGCCCGTGTTGAGGCTCTACGAGCTGCTCTATCCGGAGCAGGAGCCGGCGTTCAGAGTTATCCCCACCATTCGCGATTGCATTCATTCATCCATCCGTGATTCAGCATTTAGCATTGTTGGCGTATACTTTTTAACGATTCTTGAGTGAATCGCGGTGTCTATTTTTATTTGGTTTGAAGTCTGTTCGCTCGAAATGCTTGTTGATACCTGTGGAAGCTCCAGCTGCTTGGCATTCACTGTTACTCCGAGGAGTCTTGAGTGCTGCCGTGTATCCTCTGTGAAAGACTTAACAGCCTTCAAGGTTTCGATTCGAATAGATCCGGCTCGAAGGACCAATCTGTTCGATGCTTAATAGATAGTGGACTGTTTTTATATGATTATTTGATATATGATAATTGATTTTGTTGATTAAATGCAAGTACTAAACAAGGTCCCTCCACTCTCCTCTTTAGGTTGCAAGGCAGAGAGCTGCGCAGAGGCAGAGACCAGCTGATGTGGGTGCTGCTGCAGTTCATCTCCGGCTCTATACAGCGCAATCCGCTCTCCAACTTCCTGCCCGTGTTGAGGCTCTACGAGCTGCTCTATCCGGAGCAGGAGCCTGCATTGCCGGTGCCCGATTTCAATCAGCCGCAGTGCACCAGACAGATGGCCGTCACTTGCATCTGGATACACCTCACGAAGAAGGTGAGTGGTACGAAGAACCGTGCTAAAATTAACTGTCTGTAGCAAAGTCAAATTTCGGAAACTGACTATACACTCACCGGTTAAAAACGCCCAGAGGAAAATCCAGACAAATTGATCATCCTGTTATTTCGACCAAATCGAAGATTCTTTCTTGGAATGTTAATCTATATTTAAGTTCTCAATAAAAGCTGATGATGTGGCCATTATACCGGAAACAACAAAAGTTACTCTTTCACCCTTAAACTTCTGAACGCCCTGTGGCAAAAGTGAGCTTGTTTTGGATTGAAGAGTTATCCGGGCTTTTACGAGATGGTTAATAAATTGCATAGAATCAGTGTGGAATTTAATCCTACTCAGTTCCATAAGGATGGCAACATAGTTGTTGAGATACGTATCTAGGTTTTTATAAATATTACTTGGTATCTATATATATTTTTTTTCATTGATTAAGGCATCGACAGCTGGACCATTAGCCTTACTTGGTATATTTTATATATATTTGTTATTTTGGGAGAAAATTGTACTACTAAGTGAAATTTTGTTCCCTTGCTTCGAGGTGATCATAATAATTTTTAAAGTTTGTGAAGAAAGAACCATTGAGCGTGCAAAGTTCTCCAAGGAATCTTTTGATTCGATTTGAATAGATTTTATGGTCAAAATTATGGATTATTACTCTCCTGTGTTAGGATATTCATAACGCCGCTTAACACTTTGAAAATCATCTCGGGATATTGATAATTATTATTGTTAAGGCCCAAACGGAGCAGACCGGCATCACGTGGCCAGTGCCCAACAAGCTGCGAGCCCACCACGATTTCCTGCAGCATTTGGTGCCGCCCAGCAACACTGCCCTCGCGATGGGCAACGACTACAGGATAGCGTTGCTATGCAACGCCTATTCCACCAATCAGGATTACTTCAGGTAGGTGAAAGGTTTGGATCACAGAACTCATAATCTTTATATCTCACGACTAGAGTCACTGGATGGTATTTGTTACATAATAATAAAACCATCCAGTGACTTTACATTGAAATATGTGTCGAATTATACTAATCTCCGACTTACTTGGAGGTATGGTTATACAGGTGAGGAGAGAAACTACTGAGACGTAGGTCTACCATTTTCATCGGTTTGTTTACAAACAACTTGTGAAATCTTGTCATTGAATGTATTTCCGGATAGTCAAAAATATTATTATTAGATCTTTGGTAATATTAATATTATATTTGATTATTGTGATGAAGTGATATGTTCAAGACTGCACAACTACTTGTTGAACATGAGAGCAAAGGAAAAAGTTCCATAAGTGCCTATCAAAATACTTCTGATGAATCTTATGCCTATGTCCGTACCTATCACATCGATCTTTGCTTGGTCTCATCCACAGAAATCATTTTCTAACTATTTTTTTCCTTTTTTTCGTTTCCAGAATGGTTCTCCCTTTTTTCAGTGAATCTTGAATATTTGAATATTTCTTTTCTCAATTTCCGATTATCAAGTCTCCTTCATTCAAAATTCTCATCAAAACAATTTGATTCTCGGCAGGTCTCTTGTTCCTTTTTTGTTCTGAATCGGTCGATTCTTCTCGATATTTTTCCTGTTTATAAGTTGTAGGTTCGTATGTTCCAGTAACTTTCTAGCTTCGTGATCTTGATACACACTTCCTAACAAATCAGCCAATAAGATGTGGATCCGCTGTAAGCCAAAAAGTGAAACGCCAGCACGTAAATGCGCCCTAATTATACGTGAAACAAAAAGTGACCCGCCCCTAGAGAGCCACGCCTCTAAGCACGCCCTTTTCCCAATCGCAGTAGGTCGATGGCCGCCCTAGTGGAGACCATCCAGGGCGGGCCCAAGTCATCTGCCCCACTCACCATACCGCTAAGCATGACCGTCCTCGATTCGCTTACCGTCCACTCGAAAATGAACCTCATCCACAGCATCGTGACCCACGTGATCAAGCTGGCGCAGGCCAAATCGGGCGTGCCTCTGTCTATTTCAGTATTTCTACGTCTCATCCTAAGCACTTACTAGATCTATTTTCTTCTTCTTCTCGTTTCCTGAATTCCTCAGTCTCATTTTATCTAGTAAACCTTGAATTTTTTTATATTTCTTCTCTCAATTTTCGATTATCAAGACTCATTCATTTAAAATTCATATGAAAAGATTTTGATTCTCGGCAGGTTTCTTGTTCCATTTTTGTTCTGAATCGGTCGATTCTCTTCGATATTTTTCCTGTTTATAAGTTGTAGGTTCTGATTTCCCCACTGACTTTCTAGCTTCATGATCTTGATACACACTTTCTGACAAATCAGCCAATGAGATGTGGATACGCCGTAAGCCACAAAGTGAAAAGCCACCACGTGAATGCGCCTTAAATATACGTGAAAACGAAATTGTCCCGCCCCCATAGAGCCACACCTAACCACGCCCTTTTCCCAATCGCAGCAAGCCGATGGCCGCCCTAGTGGAGACCATCCAGGGCGGGCCCAAGTCTTCTGCCCCTCCCACCGTACCGCTCAGCATGACCGTCCTCGATTCGCTTACCGTCCACTCGAAAATGAGCCTCATCCACAGCATCGTGACCCACGTGATCAAGCTGGCGCAGGCTAAGTCGGGCGTGCCGTTGTCGCCCGCACTGGTCGAGACTTACAGCAGGTTGCTGGTTTATACGGAGATCGAGTCGTTGGGGATCAAGGGCTTCCTCAATCAACTGTTGCCGCAGGTGAGTGGTATATGTACCGGGTGTCAACTAACCCTATCAGACTAGCCATAACTTTCAGATAATAATTTTGTCCCTGCTTTCATCACAATAGAAGCTATTTCTCGGTTTTCCTTTCACAATAACTGTATCAAAGACGCAAAATAAAAAATCATCACATTCACCTGTCCCACTGTACTGGCCGTGGGCCCACCATGTACGCGTCGGGGTGGGGGTAGCCTCAAGTGATTCCAGACACCACTGGTTGAAAGCTTGAGGTCCCAACTCTTGTCATGGTAGCGGTACGTGTGATAGGCCACGGACGGTCACCCAGCAAAGGGGTTTGGAGGATTCTGGTCGACATGTGTAGCAGCGCTTGCTCAGCGAAAACTGGAAGATTGGTGTACCTTGTGCCTTAGTTCGTCAGGGAGGGGGCAGCTTCAAGCGATCCTACCGCCAGTCATCGTAGGCAAAGCCGGGTCCTCCCCCGTTAACGAGGTAGAGGAACGTGTGAAAGTCCTCGAACGATCACTCATTCAACGAGACGAGAGGATTCTTGTCAACATGAGTAGCAATCAGGCCAAAGCCTCTTGCGACGGCGACCCATCAAACTTAACAAGAGGAATCTTGTTGCCTCACCAATTGGGTTGGACTCCAGGGGGCAGCGGTTTCCAAAAAAAACACCAGCGAACTACGGTAAGAGGAGTCAAAGAAGAATCCCACTATGGGTAAAGTGGTAGGATATCTTGCCTGCCTCGGCGGGTGAGCAGCGTTTATGTTCTGGCACTGACACTGCAGAGCCAGTAGTCTGTTTTATCAGACGGCCTCACCATTTTAATAATAAAATGGTAGCAGGTGAACATGCCGTTACATAACGGAGATGGCTCTAGCGCGCTGATTTGGCGTATCCAAATCCTCCATTTCTCCCTGGGGTACTGTCGGTTTGAGTCGAAAGACAGGTAACCGGCAGTCATCCCATACGGGAGTCTTGTGAGAGGGGGGTGGGAATTGGTCCCACCTGGTTGCTACCCCGGCAACATACTATACGTTGATCATTACTTCTGTCCCACCGTACTTATATATTTTTTTCTCAAAGAGGAACAATAGTTCATAAAATGATCGAAAATAGTAGATAAGAGAAAAACAACTACTTTACTGTTTATATGCCACGCAGAACATTGAATTACGGTTCGTAATTGAAAAGTGTTTCTTGGGTCAGGTTCGCGTCAGATGGCGGTCATGAATGCCATCTGAGGACACCCCTGCACTGAAGAGAGCCAAAGCTCGAAACCGGTCTGCAGATAGTCGAGCGTTCCTGAACAATTTAAGCACAACTCAGCATTTAGCAGAAAAACACTTGCAACTGTATTCGTCTATACGAATCATTGCATATATTTCGGGACGATGTAATTCAATGTTCTGCGTGGCATATAGCCATGAAAGTAGTTATTTTTCTCTCGTTACCCACCATTTCCGTTCATTTTATGAACTATTGTCGTAATTGCTTTGAGTTTCTTCCTCTTTATGGCCATTTCATTCCACTTTGAGTATTTGGCCACTCCCATTTTATCTGAAATGAGAATCTGTTCTCGAGTGTTTCTTTCCTCTGCTCAGGAGGCGTTCGTGTCCTTCTCGCAAATGGTGAACGCCTTGTGGGTAATGAATGCTGGGATGTGTTTAGGTTGGGTCAGGTTCGCACCAGATGACGGTTAAAAAGTCATCTGGAGACACCTTGCACGGATGAGAGCCCAAAGCTCGAAACCAGTTTGTAGGTAGTCTCGTGTTCCTGAACAATTTGGGCACAGTCCAGCATTTTGGTAAGAATCACTTGCGGCTGTATTAGTCTTCACGAAACGTTTCATAGATATCGAGAGGATGTCTTTCAATGTTCTACGTGGCACATAGCCAAGAAAGTAGTTGTTTTCCTCTCGTTATCTACCATTTTTTCGTTCATTTTATGAACTATTATTGTGGTAATGACTTCGAGTTTCTTCATCTTTGTGACCATTTCCTTCCAATTTGAGTAAATATTTTGGCTTTTTCCTAGTATAATAATAATAATAATAATAATAATATTTATTTCATTCATTCTTTGCTATAAACATTACATTGCATCTCATATAAATATATTTTATTAAGATTTACAATGAAATAACATGAATAATCAGACAGATTCATATCTGGTATGAGATTATTCATGCGTTATTAAATCTAAGTTATTGAAATAAACAACAGATTCAAAAATAATAATAATAAAACAAAAAGCTCATCAGAACTACATTATAACATGATGAAATAAATTAGTGATTGAGAAATCATTCACTCAGATTTGATTTTCTCTTTGCAGGAATGACTTTAATTTTGAGTGGGGTGATATTTGTGCAACTTTTGATATCATCAGGTAATTTATTGAATTTTCAGATAGCTCCGTGAGTAAACTTTCTTTGGCCAAGTGTAGAATTAGCAGCATCAAGATGAAACAAGTCATATTGTCTAGTATGATGTTCATGGATTTGAGGAGGATTCCTTACCAATATGAAGTTAGATATGAGGTGTTCGTTGATAATATCAAAAGAAATAATTTTGGGAGTATTTATCAGATAGTACTCTTCCAAAGAAATTGAATTTGTTTCTTCATAAAGTTGATTTGATGGGGTGCTTTTTTATATAGTACAGATATTTTGTTGAAATTATTCTTGGAACATGAACCCCAAATATTTATGAGATAGTTCATTTTACTTAGGATGTGAGAGTATAGAACGGTATTTGCTATATTTGGGATAAGTTTTGGACATCTTCTCATGGCACCAACTATGGGAGAAATTTTTTCTTTGAGCATGCCAATATGCATGTCCCATGTTAACTTTTCATCAATCCAAATACCAAGGTATTTGGTAAAGGCAGTTTGTTTCAATCATTCATTTTTTATTCTAACATTCGAATCAACATTTTGTGTATTTCTTTGATGGAAAGTTATATGTATATTGTTGATGTTTTCATTATGAAAAAAGGTGTACAAGTCGCACGCTTGGGGCACCCTGTACACGCTGCTGGAGATGTTCAGCTATAGAATGCACCACATCCATCCGCACTACAGGGTGCAGCTGCTGAGCCATTTGCATTCGCTGGCCGCCGTCCCGCAGGCCAATCAGACGCAACTCCATCTGTGCGTCGAATCTACAGCCTTAAGGCTGATCACTGGTGAGTTCTGATGCGATCGTGGTTCAAGATTTAGAATTTTGATCACCCTGTATCTGTTCCAATTAAATGTCAGTAGATAGTGAATCAAAAGTTGAGATAGGGACATGAAAGTCGTTTCTACCGATAATGAATAGTTTCGACACAAAAAAATCCTAAAGTTGAAAAATCTCCATCTTACTCCAACACCCTATCGGTCCGATTCACTAAGAGCGTGGTTATTTTAACAACTGTCATTCGGGTGGTTAATTTGAAGGTCAGTGTTTATTTGAACCACTCAAAGATTTTCTGATTCTCTAAGGCCTAGATGGATAATAAATTAACAACTTGTTATGTTTTTTTCCACTTTTCATAGTGGCAGATATCCACCAGCCTTTCCTGGTGATTTGTGGAGTGGTTAAGGTTTTTAATAAAGAAATGTGGCACTATTTCAAGGAAATGTTCATCTGTTAATGCTAGATGTTTCACAAGAGGTATAATTCTACGGCAAGAAAGTATGAAATATCTATCTAATTATTTGTGAACACAAAAAAAAATTAACTATTTCACTAGAAGGATATAGCATCAAACAATAGAATTTAGAGAGATTCAACAAGTCCATCCTCAAATTTCGAAAATGTTATCACATTCCGAAAGTATTGGTTTTAGAGGTTTTGATACCATTAATAGAACCTCAGATGAAAGACGTTAGTTGGCTACTTTTATTATACTACATGTAGAAGTGAATCTCAATTGAGTTTTTGTAATATACCAGTAGGTACCTATAGAGAGTACTTAGAGAATATTTATAACTAATGCCTAGTATTTCAGATACTTGCTGCCTTACATTTATTGCTTGCACGAGGATCCTATCAGGGGGACTGATTCTAATGTAGCAATGTCTCAACCAAGTGCTTGTAGAGTAATTTAATTTTTAGGTTAAATTGACCTTAAAAAGGCAGAAATTAATAATATAGTTGATGAATGACTAACTTCACAGCTTTATTTTTATACCACTGAGTGGAAATGTAAAAATCTAACCACGTTGATGAATGTTGTTTTTATAGAATACCAAATATCAATAGTGGAAAATCTGGGGTGGTTAAAAAAGTTCTTAATAACAACGTTACTAATTTAGCCACCGTGTTTAACACTTCCTAGAGAATCGGACCGTATATCTCTGTAATCCATCCCGCTAGACACCAAGTGTGATGCATTGATGAAAGCACCTCTTCAGGAAGAATCTAAAAATGCAATGAAATACAGGGTGTTCCATTTGAAAATCGGAAGTTGATGCCCGTTAGGCCTCAAGGTTTCAACTTTGGAATATGATAATTGCAGGAAAATATGTCCCCCGCCAAATGAAATCGACCTGTTCGAGCAATTTTCAATTTTTTTAACAACATCGGAGATTTTGGGGGTGACAAATTTTAACTGGGACACACTGTATATATATTCATTTTTTCATGTTCATAATTTATCTGAGAATATTCCTTTTCATTACCTCTCTATACTTTGTGTGCAGCGCATACTGCACTGAGACCTAAACTCAGTAATTATGATACCATTGCCATCAATTTCGGCCTTCTACAAGGATCAATTTTGGCACCAACATTTTTCCTACTTCATATCGACGATCTATTGGGAGTAACAACTTGCCCCATCCACAGCTATGCAGACGATAGCACTCTCCATAACGCGTTCTCTTCTAGAATTCCCATTTCTTCCCATGAAACTAAAAACTAACAACGAAGGCAGGCCAACGCTGTCAATGAAGATATTGCGGGAACTACAGCCTGGAAAACGAATAACCTAGTTGAATTCAACGCTACCAAAACGCAAGCCTGTATTTTGTCTAGAAAGGCGGAACTGAGTATGCCTGATATAACAATGTCTGGTACCACTATTCACACCAAGACCACTATATCTGTGCTTGTTATTACCATCAGCAATACTCTCTCATGGGAAAATCATCCATCGATCCATCGCAGAAGCTGCTTCCCAAAAACTCGGATTCTTGTTTCGTGCGAAAATCTACTTTACAGTACTTTACAGTACCTCAACAGCTCCTCATGATCTACAAAGCACAGATACGGGCAATTTTGGAATACTGTTCAGCATCCAAAAATACGCTGATGCTCTTAGATTCCATCCAGAAAAGAGCCAATCGCCTGGTGGGTGATGCCACACTCATTAACTCGTTCACCTCAGTAGAACACCGTAGAAAAGTCGGCGACTTTTCACTTTTCTATAGATACTTCTACGGGAAATGTTCCTAAGAAATCTCTGCTATAATTCCATCGCTAACAATACCAGTTAGGCGAACTCGACAGCCCAGAATCGATTTTTCGGAAAATTTGATTTTTTCAGATATTCTCAATCGTTTCTTACATATTGCTCCTCTAGCGAGATATGTAAGTCAATGTGTATACATTCATTCTCTTTCTATCATCTTCACCTATTTTTCTGTGTAAAAGTCAATGTGAACAGAATCGAATGGTTCGAAAATTTGACAAGCAACTAGATTTTGTTGATTTCTGATAGAATTACTATCGATAGTATTGCGAACGCTTATGGTATTGCCCCTGATAATTTAGAAATGCATTTGATACTTTCAGAAATGCATTTGATACTTTAGAAATTAAGTTGACTAGTTTAAAATATAAAAGATTTTTGAAATCCAAATGACTACCTTTATATATACATATATATACAGTTTTGTTAGAGATTCAACGAAATGTTAGCAACTTTAGTAAACCTTCAAATTTCCACAGATACAATACAAGATCAGCTGATTTACTGACAATTCGACGTCACAGATTAACCGTAAGCTGCAAAAACTCTGAATATTAATTTATACAATACCCTTCACTCATCTGTCAGGGTATTGGAGTTCAAACAAAAGTTTCTTTCAACTGTTTTTATGATATTGGCAGTTACATGATATCGGCTAATTTACTTAAGCTCTAATCATTTTTTCTGTCATGCTTATTATTATTATTTTTCTTGCCATACTTTCCAAGAATCTAATATGAATTTTAATCTGTCTGTTCTGTACTCTAGAATTTATGTAATCTCACAGATTTTACCTTTCGACTTTTATAATATTAATTATTTTTCATTAATTGAATATTTACTAAGTATTTTACTCCTTTAATATTGTTCTTCGAAAACCTGTTCTTAATTGTGACTTGCCATAGATGTATTTGTATGTATATAACATGGTCAAATAAACTACTTTACTCTATTTGGAAAAACAATTGACCATTGATTATCTGAAACTTGAGAACATGTAGCAACTTGAAGAACCACATCTCTTGAAAATGTAAGGTTTGGGCAGCGGCGACGTCCAGCCGGAGCTGTCCCGCTTCCTCGCCGAGCCGAAGACGATCGCCTCGGCGGAGTCGGAGGAACTGAACCGAGCGCTGGTGCTCACGCTGGCCAGAGCCACCCACGTGACCGGCACCGACGGCCAATGGTGCCACGAGCTGCTCGCCACCGTGGCGCAGAGCACGCCGCACGCCTGGGCGCCGCACACTTTGGAATGTTTCCCCAGTGAGTATCGATAGTAGATAGAGATCCGGTTCGAAGGACCAATAAAGCTCTATGAAAGTCATCGTTCTTTGTGATACAAATGATAAAGATATGGCGAACATGGTATACTTTGCTTTTATCGACTCCCATTTCAGGTATGGAATTTGTTTTCAGGGGTCTTGCAGTCAATTTTTATTCTATAGGAAATTCGTGTTACAAAAGAGAGCAGCAAGATGTTTATGTTAAATCAAGTTTAGAGATCCATGTATCGTCATTTTGGAAACAGTGTGTCGAATTCACAGTGAATACATGAGTGAAAATTCTGAAAGATAGAAATCGTTATAACACAAGACAGGCTGTGAATATATCGGTAATAATACCATCAACTATTCAAATAAAGAAATCCTTCTTTTATGATGGCAAAAAATGATTCAATCATTTCAATTTGAAGGAATTCAAAAGTTCTGTAGAGAATATTTTACTAGAGAGAGCTTACTACTCGTTGGATGAATTTTATTTGTAAAAATTTTAACATTTAATTTACTTGCCATTTCGATGCCTATATATTTTATATACACTTTTTTATCGATTTTATAAATTTTTTATTGATGTTATCTGTTTCTGTGAATATTTCGGAATTGTTATCTGTATATTACACCTGTATGTTTTAAAATTCTTATAAGTATGATGAGAATTTCATATCTTCTGACAATAATGTATACAGTGTGTCCCACTTACCATGCTCACCATGGGTATCTTTTTAACGGTGAGAGATACGAAGTCGGTTAAATGACACCAAATGTGGAGTTTGTCAAGGCCAACTATAATGTGAAAAAATATTTTGATAAAATCTATTCGTTTTTGTTTTATACGCGAAAAACAGATTTTGATCATTTTCATGTCTCCTCCGTAACTTTTTTATTTATGAAAATATTCAAATAGGAATTTCACATCCTCATGGCAGTTTTTCAAAGTGATTTCGAAAAAAATATGAAATTTATACCAACTCTTCTAGAATTTGAGATATCAGCACCAACTTCAGTTTTTCAAATGTAGGTCATAGCTCACTATGACTTAGTTACAAATAACTTTTTTTTCTCTTACAGATGATATGTCGCAGTAATAGTTTTGTGTTGATAACAACTGGGTTATCGTCATTTATACAAAAACAAAAAAAAATATTTTGAAGCCGCCATTTTGAATTTGTAAATTTTAACAAGAGAATCATGATCTCCGACCTCAAAAACCCCCACTTACCAATTTTGAATGGAATCGGACCAAATCTTGTCCGCCATCTTGGAGCAGCAATTTTTTTTAAATTTAACAAAAATTCCATAATGTATTGTCATCGAAATTATGAACACCAGCCAAATTTTAAGTTAATCGGAGTTATGGAATTTTTGTTGAAATTTAAAAAAATGGCTGCTTCAAGATGGCGGACAAGATTTGGTCCTATTCCATTCAAAATTGGTGAGTGGGGGTTTTTGAGGTCGGAGATCATGATTCTCTTGTTAAAATTTATAAATTCAAGATGGCGGCTTCAAAATAATTTTTTGTTTTTGTATAAATGACGATAACTCAGTTGTTATCAACACAAAACTATTACTGCGACATATCATCTGTAAGAGAAAAAAAAGTTATTTGTAACTAAGTCATAGTGAGCTATGACCAACATTTGAAAATCTGAAGTTGGTGCTGATATCTCAAATTCTAGAAGAGTTGGTATAAATTTCATATTTTTTTCGAAATCACTTTAAAGAACTGCCATGAGGATGTGAAATTCCTATTTGAATATTTTCATAAATAAAGAAGTTACGGAGGAGACATGAAAATGATCAAAATCTGTTTTTTGCGTATAAAACAAAAACGAATAGATGTTATCAAAATATTTTTTCACATTATAGTTGGCCTTGACAAACTCCACATTAGGTGTCATTTAACCGACTTCGTATCTCTCACCGTTAAAAAGATACCCATGGTGAGCATGGTAAGTGGGACACACTGTATACCAATAAAAATGAAAAAACTGCTCGCTACCGTAGCGCTGAGTACGCTGCACGCCACTTTAGAAGGTTTTCCCAATAAGTAATCTTACCATATCAGAAACACGAATTTGATAATCAAAATATGCACAAACCACTGTTTATTGAGATATTTCACGAAAAAGTTCGAAATTTCACCTCCATTCTCCGCCTGTCTTGGAAACGCATTAAGAACTATTTGCTCTTCTCATTTTGTCATTGGACACTTCATATACTCATGGTAGCCCTCAGGGACTCACAACTTGTGAGTACGGAAATGGTGAACCCGAGGTACCCTAGCCGAATATTCACCATACTTCAACTTGTCTTGGGTGATATCATCTTCTCTCTTCCGTTTTCAATCAATCTATCGACCTTTCTTGGACAACTTCTCTTTTCCTCCTCCCCTTCAAGCCCAACCTCACCATCAAGTGGTGTGGGGAAGACAGACCGCGGCCGCTCGACGGATGAAGCATTTTGGGACCATCTTTGCTATCTCCGGGCCAGATCGGACAATTTGTAGACATCTGTGGCAAGGATGGGTCGATTTGCTGATATCTGTCTAGGTGACCGAAGACTGGTCAACGAGGCTCTGGCAACCTAATCCAAGCTGTGGGAACCCGTGGTGATGGGTAAATGGCACCGAGGTATGGTGTCGCTAACGGGGCCTCTGGGAAACAGGGCGCATCTCAGAGTAAGTAGCCTTAGCCCTGTGCAGGGGGCACCACAGGGCTGGAACAACCCCTTCCCCCGTCACTCGTAGGAGGAAAACTTTTGGCCTTCTTCGTAGACGAGAACAGGGATCGGAAGAGTAATCTTCAGGAACCTGAACGAAAAGGGTCTTTCATATTGAAGTGGCCCTTATAAGCACCATGAGTCGTATATGGTAAAATTGATATCGGCATGTAGGTAAGATACAATGGGCCACTAGGCCTAAGTGTCGTCGGAGACTTCGGTCAAAAAAAAACTCATGGTAGTCATGAAGTACGTAGACACGTTTTATGTGGGAAAATTCCCAAAACATATACGTTATAGATAAATTGCTTTTGAACAACGCAATACACATTATTTTAAATTATATTCTTCCTTCTTCAATCTTTTTTCCATTTCAAATGTAGAAATTAGTTCTGTGATAGGAATTTTCTCATTTCCCACGGTGAAAGTGAATTCTTGCATATTTGACATGTACTTGATAATTGAATGACAGAATGACCGTCAGCTGCTGTGGTTGTTCACTAAATATGTAAAATTCGCAAGAAAATCATATTTCCTAAATCATTATGTATAAATTGTCCGATGATGAAGAAAAAAGGGCAAATAGTTCTTAATGACCGTATCTAAGTCAGGCGGAAATAGAAGGTGACATTTAGAAGTTTTTCGTGCAATATCTCGATAAATAGTTGTTCGTACACATTGTCATTATCAAATTCGTGTTTTTGAGACAAAAATGCGTAGGTAACAAAAAAAATCCAGAAAAAAACTCTATCACTGATGAGTGCAAAATCCCCCAATATTTCATGTTTATCTTCCTGTCTAATGAGGATTGAAATTTGAATTATTCCACTTCAGTCAATAAAAAGCATTGTTCTTTGTAATACAAATACAGGACTGGTCAGAACCAGTAGACAACTACATTGAAATCTTGTTCAAGAGATCCGGCTCGAAGGACCAAAGCTAAGTGCATACTTTTCGTTGGACCACTTTGTATGACAGATTGCGGTAGATTCAAAGTTACATACCATCAGTTAACCAGCCTACAATATCGAGGTTGAAATGAACTTTTTTCAGGGGCGTTGGCGGATTTCTTCGCGCAGCACGCCGTCCCCAAGGAGAACAAGCAGCAGCTGAAGAAGGCGGTGGAGGAGGAAAACCGGAAGTGGGCATCGATGAACAACGAGAACGACATCATGGCGCACTTTGGCGTGCCTGGAGCACCGCCGCTCTTCCTCTGCCTGCTGTGGCGCATGCTGCTGGAGACCAATCACATCAGTCCCATTGCTTACAAGTTAGTTCATTCTTTCCTTTTTTTTTTGTATTACTATCTGATTTTAGAAATCGAAAAAGCTAATGAAGTCACTCATGAAATACTATAAGTAGGCTGTGATCATTATTTTTTTCAGATTCCAACTGTAACCTCAGCGACTCAATTTTTTTTTCATGGAACTATATGTTTTTGTTCTGTTATAACAGTGGATTCGATGGAATATCTGCTAAAATTGTGAAAGTGATCAAAGTAGAATTAGCTCCGATTTTATTGTATATTGTGACTAGATCTTTCAAAACTGGAATTGTACCAGATAAAATGAGAATTGCTAAAGTCATACCGTTACATAAAACTGGAAAAAGAGATGACCTTAATAACTACAGATCGATTTCAGTTTTCCCGGTCCTCTAAAAAATTATTGAAAAAATAATACATACAGTGTCATTCATAAAGTCGGCATCATATGGGAACAACTTTTATTAATGACTTATTTTGAAATTCGAGTTGGACGTTAAGTTTTGCTTCAAAGAAGATGAAAAATGGCCTACTCAATCGGGGTCACGTGACGTTCCCTACATGTCAAAAAATACATTTTTTCAAATTAATCGCTGAAAGTAGGCTTATTTGTTCGAATATCGAAAAAGTTTACTTGAAAAAGTTGTTTCTATTTAAATTTTATATATGTGACTCGGATTTTATCTCACTATTACATCTTTTAGATTTCGATATTTTTTGAAAATTTTCGAAATTTCTGTAATATTGAAAAAATTGTAAATTCGATAAAACTACTTCATACCAGTAGTTTCATCATGCTACTAACTTTCAATTACTAATTATCGAAAAAAATGAAAAAAATATGATTTTCTTCAGAAAATGATAATCTCCGCTTCAAAATTCTGTTATGTTTGATGCAAACATAACATCAAAATTCTGTTATGTTTGAGTCGAGCATTTAGAAACGAAATTCATTTATTTTTTTTTTCAGTACGGAAAAGATCAGTTTAAATGAATTTCGTTTCTAAATGCTTGACGATATAATCAACTTTGCATCAAACATAACAGAAATTGTAAACGGGTATTATCATTTTCTGAAGAAAATCATATTTCTGTCCATAATCAGTGATAATAATTAATTGAAAGTAAGTAGCATGAAAAAGCTACTGGTATGAAGTAGTTTCGTGGAATTAACAATTCTTCAAATATTGCAGAAATTTCGAAAAATTGAAAAAAAAATCAAAATCTAAAAGTTGCAATAGAAAGATCAAATTTGAGAAGAATGTGTAAAATTGGAATGGAAACAACTTTTTCAAGTAAACTTTTTCGATATTCGAACAAATAAGCTTACTTTCAGCGATTAATTTGAAAAAATGACACTTTTGACATGTAGCGAAAGTCATGTGACCCCGATTGAGTAGGCCATTTTCCATCTTTTTTGAAGCAAAACTCAACGTCCACCTCGAATTCCAAAATAAGTCATTAATAAAAGTTGTTCCCATATGATGCCGACTTTATGAATGACACTGTATAAGCGTATTCTTGATTTTCTTGAAAATAATGGTCTACTATACAGTGGTCAATATGGATTTCGCCGATCGAAAGACACTGAGGTAGCAGTTATGAATGTAATTTCGGATATTCAGTTCAAAATTGATCAAAATTATAAATGTGGTCTCTTGTATTTAGATTTATGTAAAGCTTTCAATACTGCAAATCATGATATTTTACTGAGTAAAATATATTCAATAGGTACCTATTAGAGGAAAAATATTTGATTGGTTAAAAAATTATCTGGAAAATAGAAAGCAGTATGTTGAAGTCAATAATATTTGTAGCTCCGTGAGGGAGATCAAATGTGGTGTACCACAAGGTTCCGTTTTAGGTCCAATTTCATTCTTAATTTACATCAATTCAATATCATCTTTGAAACTAAAAGGAGATCTGAAGTTATTTGCAGATGATACTACAATAATCTATTCCTCTAAAGAATCAAACGATATAGTTGATGATATAAAAAGCGACTTGAAAAAGATATCATCTTGGCTGCAAATTCATGAGCTGACTCTTAACTATGGCAAATCTACGTATATGTATATTTCAAAAAGAAAAACTGATTTGTCGAAAACAACAATATTTTTCAACCAGAAAGCCATAAAATATTTGGATGTTACAAAATTCTTAGGTCTTTATATTGATGAACAATTATCGTGGACTAAACATATAGATCACCTGAGAAAAAAGCTAAATCCAATTACTGACATTTTATACAAAATTCGAAATTTCATTCCTCTCAGATATTTGAAGAATATATATTTTTGTCTGATTTACTCAAAATTACAATATTTAATATCAATTTGGGGAAGCACAAGTATATCACATTTGAAACCATTAATGAAATTACAAAATAAAACAATTAAGTGCATTCACAATTTACATTACGTGGAACCAACTCTTAATCTTTACAAACCAAAAATTCTGTTGAATTCATCATCTTTATGTAAAATGAAAATTTATTCTTTTATTCATTTTGTGAGAAAAAAAAATGAAAATATCCAACTTGAACGTTACTAAAGTAAATACAATTCATACTCATGAAACGAGACAGTTGATTTCGTTAATAGCAAACCCATATAACCCCATCATTGGCAAACAATCAGTATTCTACAACGGAATCATTTTATATAATTCATTACCTTATGATTCGAAACATATTGATGATGAAACAAGATTCCAAGTCAATATGAAAAAATATATACTCATGACACTATAAACGGAGCAATTTATTCTCATCTGAATACTTGGAATGATTTTATCTTAATTATTATGTTATATTGACATAACTCGTTAATTAGTTTTTTTATTGTTATACCGAGTGGCTACGGAAGTATTGCCTACGGAATATCTCAGTTATTGTATGAAGTAGGTTTGTGAAATTTGGAGCGTCGATATAATGACATAAGAGCTAGAATTTGAGCATATTGACATGTCTAAGTTAACTTCCGGTCTGACCGGAAGTAATATTAACTTTCTTATTTTAAATGGAAACCCTATTTTTTTTTCTTTTCGCTTCATTCAGCATTCAATTCCCTTTCTAATGACATATCACAAGTTGGTATCTAACCAGAAACTAAATCAGAAAAAAAATTATTATTGAAATTCACCGAGTAGGCCATGGAAGCAAAATGAAAGCCAAAAATTAAAAAGTTGGCTATGGAAACCATACGTCACTTGATAACAGTTGCTACTACTGTGATATTTTATTTTCATTCGTCGGCGTTATAAAAAGCCGCCAAAAAAAATATTGGAAAAATTGGGAAAAAAACAATACTCTGTAGGTCCATAACTTAAATAGGAACATACAACTTTTTCTTGCCTGTACTATTCAGCATAACCATTCCTTTCTAATGATATAATAGAAAGTCATTTTTTGGCTTTCATTTTGCTTCCACGGCCTACTCGGTGAATTTCAATAATATTTTTTTCTGATCTAGTTTCTGGTTAGATACCAACTTGTGATATGTCATTAGAAAGGGAATTGAATGCTGAATAAAGCGAAAAGAAAGAAAAATAGGGTTTCCATTTAAAATAAGAAAGTTGATGTTACTTCCGGTCAGACCGGAAGTTAACTTAGACATGTCAATATGCTCAAATTCTAGCTCTTATGTCATTATATCGACGCTCCAAATCTCACAAACCTACTTCATACAATAACTGAGATATTCCGTAGGCAATACTTCCGTAGCCACCCGGTATATATCATATGTTTATGTATCCCTATTATAAACAAATATGTTTCTTGCTCACATTGCCAAGAGAGGTGTTCCCCGAGGCATATAACCTCCAGAAATTAAAGAAGAATACCAATTCCTACATTCTTTTCCTTGGTTCTCCCGATGTTCTCTGAACATTACAGGATATCCCTTTTCGTGGGAACCAGAACATTAAAAAAATTTCAGAAATAAAAAAAAGTAGTCCCCTCGCCTATTGAGTAAGGTGAAGGTGACTAATAATAATAAAAAATGCAGGATCTTGGAACGGATCGGCGCCAGAGCGCTTTCTGCCCATCTGCGCAAGTTCTGCGATTGCCTCGTCTTCGAGTTCACCAACACCGGCGGCGGGCAGTACGTCAACAAGTGCATCGACACCATCAACGACATGATCTGGAAGTATAATATCGTCACCATCGATCGGCTAGTCCTCTGTCTGGCCCTGAGGTGAGTGTCCTTTCTGTGTGTTGTGAATGCAAAAGTAATAAATAAAATATATATACTGTTTGTAGGTTAATCGATGAGGTGGAACATTAATGTTTCCAGATTTTTTTGGGATTCTCTCTCCTCGTTTCTATGAAATAAAAATATGAATATTTTTCCAATATACGTGTAGTAAGGACAAATCAGATGATTTGCCCCAAAATGTCACTGCGTTTGAAGAATTTTCCTGTCAGGAAGCCTAAAAGAACAATTCACTTGAGAAGATATTACATTATTTTGAAATCTGAAAATTATCGACGTGAAATTTTAAGTTTTTAACAGTAGGGACACCTGCGTTTTAGGCATCTTTATCATTCTTTTGAAGTAATCAAATATCGGATGTCACTTCTGTCAGTCTAATTCTGTGATTTGATTTCAAAAAATTGCGCATTTAGTGGTTGTTTAGTATTATACGTAACCGCGAAGTCGAATGGGAGATAAAAGGACTTGCAGTTCTTTCTTGGAGACGGTATTATTGACTCATTTTTCGGAACTGTAGCACAACAAAAGCCATCAACAGTGTATATATGATATATATCCGGGAGAAAAGTACTTTATGAAAAGTGACGTTTTATAACCTGCCAACAGAGATGAAATGCCAATGATACACAATACGGCTTTCGCCACCGAAGATCTACTGGAGATCTACTTGCCTACGTCACCCATTTATGGCAAGCTTCATTAGAAAAACACGGCCAAACTCTAGCTGTCGCGTTGGACATATCGAAAGCATTTGACCGTGTTTGGCATGAAGGACTCCTCCACAAACTACCATTATACGGCTTACCACCTCATCTATGCCATCTCTTATCGAGTTTTCTTTCAGGCAGATCGCTTAACGTGGTGGTGGACGGTGTATCGTCTGATACAATTGGCATCAATTCCGGCGTTCCACAAGGATCAATTTTGGCACCAACATTATTCCTTCTTCATATTAATGATCTGTTGGGAGTAACAACTTACCCCATCCACAGGTTTGTAGATGATAATACCCTCCATACTGTGTTCTCTCCAGAATTCCCATTTCTTCCCAGGAAACTAAGAACTCACGGCGCAGGCAGGTCAATGCTGTAAATGAAGACCTTGCTGAAATGACAGCCTAGGGAACCAACAACCTAGTTGAATTCAACGCCACCAAAACTCAAGCCTGTATTTTCTCTAGAAAGGCGGAACTCAGTATACCCGATATTGTAATGTCTGGCACCACCATCCCCACCAAGCCCACCATATCTATGCTCTTTATTTCCATCAGCAACACTCTTTCATGGGATAACCATGTCAGATCCATCGCAAAAGCTGCTTCACAAACAAAAACTCGGATTCTTGTTCCGTGCGAAAAGCTACTTTACACCTCAACAGCTCCTCATGATCTACAAAGCGCAGATACGGCCTGTTCTAGAATACTGTTCCCACGTATGGGATTCAGCACCAAAACATACGCTGATGCTCTTAGATTCCATCCAGAGAAGAGCCATTCGCCTGGTGGGTGACGCCACACTCACTCAGTCTTTGACATCATTGGAACACCGTAGAAAGGTCGGCGACCTTTCACTTTTCTACCGATACTTCCACGGGAAATGTTCTTCGGAAATCTCTGCTATCATCCCTTCACTAGCAATACCAATCAGACGAACTAGACAAGCCCAGACAGCACATCCTTTCGTTGTCAACCTCGAAAGATGTCGAACAGCACTTTGTCAAGACTCCTTCATCCATAGAACGGCTAGGCTCTGGAATTCATTGCCTGTGGAAGAATTCCTAACAACATATAATCTCCAAAAGTTCAAAAAAAAATCCAATACCTACCTCCTGTCCCTATCCTCCCCAGGAACGCACGATGTTCTTCTGAACATTATAGGGATTCCCTTTGGTGCGATCAAAGCGATAAAAAAAACTTTTTTCCTGTCACAAAAAAAATATTTTTCCAAACACAATAAACGAATCTACCTATCTACTATTCTAGACCTCAGGGCATCGAGCGCGTGTGCTCCTTCATCATCGATTTATTTTCCTGCAAAAAAAATGCATTAGCAACAGGTCTAATTAATTTATCATTGATAGGAAACATGAATTTTGTGGAGGGGTCTGCCACCCCTCGTTATTTAAGATCGCCGTTTCACTGCCTACTTCTGAAACTTTTGTCTAGATGGCGGTGAGATGGCCGTTTGCACTAAAATATGAGAATTTTCAAGACGGTAGTGCGCCACGATATACCTCTAGTACGTATTCGTAGTTTCCTTCTTTCTAGTCAGTTCGGGCAAGTCCTCCATAGGTGTCGGAATACTAGCATCGAATCGGAATAGAATTGATCGATCAATCATAGAATATAAAAATAACACAGTTTATATTCTTGGGTTCAAATATGAATATAGTTTATATTCTTGGGTTCAAATATGGAGTGAAATTCTGGATGTGTGCTTGCTCTTACCGTCCGCGCAAAATATGTAGTATTTATAGGTCTCGATCTCGATCCAGATAATGGCTGACCTGACTTTGTTTACTATGTTTATGTTTACATCGCGAAGCGTAGAACCAAAGAGTAGGGGATGGTAGAACCAGAACCGAGCCGTCACGATTATCATTGTCAGAGATAAATCATGAGGGCTTTGGCAGAACGCGGGAATTTCGCACTGAATTGTTATCTACGAGAATAGTTGGAAACTCAATAGGTATCAAGTGATATCAATATCAAGCATTTCATTCAAAGCAAAAATGTTACATGTGGTCTTTTTTTACAAGCATCATCAAATCTTGCAAGTTGAATTTGACGCACTTTCTGATCGTCCGATTGATTAAAAACTTGGCAGGTGGACATGATTTTGGTGACAATGCATTATGAAATAATTAGGTTTTCGGGGTCGGAGATTATGATTCTCTTGTCAAAATTGAAAAATTCAAGATGGCGGCTCCATGGCGGACTGGTTTTGTGCTTATGATCTGATTCGATTAAAAATTAGTAGGTATCTGGGGGTTTTCGGGGTCGGAGATCATGATTCTTTTGTCAAAAATGGAAAAAATCAAAATGGTGGCAAAATAGTGTAGGTACGAGTTTTGTGATTATGGACCGATTGTATTCAAAATTGGTATCTGGTGGTTTACGGAGTCAGAGATTATGATTCTCTTGTCAAAATTAGAAAATTCAACATGACGGCTCCAAAATGGCGGACGAGTTTATTGTGATTATGGTCCGATTCTATCAAAAATTTGTAGGTATCTACGTATCTATATAGGCTTTTCGGATTCGGAGATTATGATTTTCTGTCAATATAAAAAAATTCAACATGGCGGAATAGTTTTGTGATTATGGTACGATTCTATTCAAAATTTGTATTTGTGGGTTTTCGGGGTCGGAGATTATGATGTTTTGTCAAAATTCAAAAATTCAACATGGCGGCTGAAAAATGGCGGAAGAGTTTTTTTGGTAATGGGCCCATTCTATTCGGTATCTTGGTGTTTTCGGAGTCAGAGATTATGATTTTTTGTCAAAATTCAAAAATTCAACATGGCGGCTCAAAAATGGCGGAAGAGTTTTTTTTGATAATGGGACCATTCTATTCGGTATCTGATTGTTTTCGCAGTCGGAGATTATATTTTATTGTCAAAATTCAAAAATTCAACATGACTGCTCCAAAATGGCGGAGCAGAGTGGTTTTCGGAGTCGGAGATTACCTATGATTTTTTGTCAAAATTTAAAAATTCAACATGGTGGCTCAAAAATGGCGGAACAGTTTTGTGATTATGACTATTCAAAATTTGTTTTTGGGGGTTTTCGGAATCAGAGATTATAATTTTTTGTCAAAGTTCGAAAATTCAACATGGCGGCTCCAAATAAGTGGCGGACAAGTTTTGTGATTATGGTCCAATTCTATTCAAAATTGTTATGTATATATGTGGAGGGTTTTGGGGTCGGAGATTTTTTTTTTTAGTTTCACTTGTCCTAGTGTCTTGTATGTTGCATGAATAAACAAGTTGAATGAATAAACAAAAAAAAAATCAAAACAAGCTTTTATTTGTTGTTACTAAAGGAAGAACTGGAAACTGGCGCGATGTCCTGTCGCTGCTTATACAGGGTGTTCATTATTGTTGCACGAAATTTCGAGGTCAGATTTGTTGAGTCGAAATATAAATAGAGTTATACTAGCTTAATTCTCGAGGAAAAAAATGGAAACCAAACCTATGCATGGCTGTTGAGAGAGAAAAATACTCTAGAAATCAATCGGATAATTATGGCAAAACAAGAACCCACTTATCGTAAATGAAATCGGTTGAAGTTCAGAAAAAAATTGTACACCCTGTAGGTACCTATCTCGGAACGAATCATTTCCAGAAATTATATTCATACGAACTTTGTTCATATTTTGGCCCATAAAATCTGATCTTGAAGTTTCATCCAACAATAATGACACACCCTGTATAGACATTGCAGAAGGCAGAACCGACCGTACGATCAGCGGCTCCGATCGAATGCGAAGAAACAAAAGGATTGCACCTATACCTATTCGCATATTTATTTTGTATTGGCTATAAACTCATTCTGAATTATTTTTCAGTTATACGATGAACTGATGTTCATCATATATAAAACCCAATCACGAATCTGTGATTAGAGGTTTTTAGAAAGAGAATGGAAATTCTCAATTTCAGAAGATTTTAATTTTCAAATTATTTTTTCGTGTGTGTTCAATAGATGTAATTCAATGTTCATCGTTGGCATTAGCCGGGAAAGTAGTTGTTTTCTGTTGAATATACCTACCGATAAAGAATTCATATTTTCACTAGATAGAGAATGCAAAATCTCAATATTTTTCTTGATAAGTTTTATATTTTCTTCATGTTCATAATATATCTGAGAATATTCCTTTCCAAAAAAAAACATTCTGAATTACTTTATTCGATATCGGCTTCCAGGATGTTAGTATATTGTATAAACCATGGTTGTACATTTTCTGACTATTACATGTATACTAAACACAACACCAAATTTGTGTAAGGCATTTGAAGAGATTGAAATGTAGTATTATTTTGAATAGTATCACAATAGGTATTATACCTACCTACCTAATAGGTATTTATTTTCATCTCTACTCGTCGGGTGTATGACATATTCTTTGTTCGAAACCAAGCCGCCAACACGTGTTCTTGTGACAAAATCGCTGTAGGTAGAGAGGTACTAATAATAATAATAATAATAATAATAATAATAATAATAATAATAATAATAACGGATGTGTGGAGTGGTCACTGGTCACCCTAAAGCTCGACTCTGCGTTGGAGGCCGCAGAGTCGTGACTGGAATTTGAATAATTTCAAATTTCATAATAATAATAATACTAATAATTTATTCACCTAAGTAAAGAAAATACACAATGGGTAACAAGGGTATATACATAAATAACAAGTGAATAAATAGGTATCCACAAAGGGATGAAGTCCTGTACGTGGATGGTATGAACATAATATAATATATGCGCGGTAAGTAAAATAAACATTCTATCGATAAACAAAAAAAGTAGAATGAACAATACACATATACATATAAAGGTGACTTTCAGTTCAAATCATCGACCGATAATACTTTTTCTTACGACCATCTATGAAAACAGCGGATAGGTACCTATTACCACACTGTTATGTTATTTTGAAAGTAGCACATTTCAATATTGTAACAGAGAATTGTAAAGTAAAACGCATTAGTGTGGAAATGTTTTACAAACGCACGCTCGCAGTGAGTTGATGAATATAATGTAATTTCAAGTTTTTTATATGATTATTAGCGCTCCCCTCGCGTTGACTCTGGGCACTGACCTGTAGCCGAAAGCACCCGCACCTCCCAATAACGAATAACGATCCCCATGCCCCATAGAAATAGAAATAAACATTTTGTTTGTCTCTGTCTTGCGAATATATCTGTCCTTGCCTCCAGTTCCTGGTCTTAGGAGAGCGAGGTAGTCTAGCAACAACGATGTTCAAACTCTGTTTTGAACCAGTGTTGCAAAGGGTATAAAATTTTAGTTGAATCCACTGCAAAACAGTAGTTACAAATAATGATTGATTTATATCTTATTGACAATTCTTGCTCTATTGCTAAACCACAGGATCAATTATTTTACCCCAATTGTATGTAAGTGTTTACTTACTTTATTGCTTTCACATTCTGGAATTCACCTGCGTTGAAGCGATTATCATTTTTGATGAATTCCAACAATAATAGTCCAACTTGAAACTTGACTCAAATGTAAACAATGTCACAAATATAATGAGTTCTGAGGTCACGATTCTACGGACCAAACAAAGCGTTTCGGTTTCCATTTGAATTTATTTCAAATACGAAAAATTTTAAAATTTCCTTTTAGGCTCAAACGTAGGTAATATCATATAAAAAACGCGGAACGACGCGATCGCCATCTGTTGGTTTTATGTGAATACAACATCTCATGAAATTTCAGTTAGCAGTGCCGAAGTTGCAAGATTACAGGATTACAGCAAGATGAGTGTGTACCGCCATCTATTAGGTAGGGTCCGAACCGGTCCGAACTACCAAATTCATGTTTCCTACTTTATCTTCGAAGGATATTGCAACGAAACCAAACCTAATAATCGAAAAATGGCGTCCTTGTGTCAAATTTCAGGTTTTTGTTCGAATGGAGACATTCCAGGAGCTGATATTTTGGTAACGCATTCCTAAATTTTGGTTCCATACAATGAGGTAATTTTATTAAAATCTGAGACACAAAAATTTACAATGTTTACATTTTTCAAAGACCCCTAACTTTTTTCAATGGACGAGTTTTGACTCCGAAAAATACTGATTCCCTAATTTGAACCTTCCTCTTTACGATAATTCAATTAGTTTTGAGATTGAATTCATGACAAGGCCAGAAAGGTCAAATGAAAAAGGGTCTGCTAAACCATTTTAGTGAAACCCTCCTCTTAAGCATAATTTTTAGTAGATTATTATAAAAAGTCATATATCGAAGACTGGAACCTTTGGCACGATAATACACTACACTGTTTTACCACTTGGTTTGGTTAGTGGTAAAACAGTGTAGTGTATAAAAAGTCATGGAAACCATATATCCTTCTTGAAGTGGTTCAATATATTTTTGTTTTCAAGAAGAAACAGTGAAACACACAGTCAGTCGACTGCAAAAAAAATACAATCATCAATATTCGAAAAAAAAAATTTCTCAGACCTCAGGAGGGCAGCCAGGCGCAAGTGTGCTCGTTAATCATCGATTTATTTTCCTGCAGAAAAAAAAATGCATTAGCTACAGGTCTAATTAATTTACCGTTGATAGGAACCTTGAATCTTGTGGGGGGGTCTGCTCTCCCCCCGTTACTTCATCATAATTTTCAGTAGATTATTATACAAAAGTCATGGAAACCATCCATCCTTCTAAAGGTGGTCCAATATTTTTTTTTTTTTCAAAGAAAAAACTGAAACACAAAGTTGACCATAAAAAAAATTAAGAAAAATGGTATAAAAAAATACACAGTTGTCAATATTCGTGAAAAAAAATGTTGTTAGACCTCAGGAGGGCAGCGAGGCGCAAGTGTGCTCGTTCATCATCCAGCTGGTACTGCTCAAGGCCACGGAGTTCCGCAACCGCGTGCAGGACTTCGTCAAGGACAACTCGCCCGACCACTGGAACCAGATCAACTGGCACGAGAAGCACCTCGACTTCCACCGGAAGTACCCGGAGAAGTTCGCGCCGGAGGAGCAGAGCAGCGGGTACCATCCGAATTTCGGCAACGTCTGTCTCAGGTATTGTAATGTTTTTCTAGTTATTTTCACTCATAATACACATAGACACTTTGAGAAATAAAATGAATCTAAATACTAAATGATACATAAAGTCATCTCCACGACATTTAATGTGATTAACACCACAAAAATTGTTACATATTTCGGACATATATATGTCCATCATCAGCTTTACATCAGAAATTACATAATTGTCCTAAAATTGAAGTAGTTATTAGTACAATCAACAAGAGTAAGGAGAATAAGAGTGCTTACAAGGGGATAAAAAAATATTATGTCACCATCTTTTACATTAGAAAAAATATAGTGAAGGGTTTTAGAGCACCAATAAAAAAATTTGTACATTCTCATGTAGGTCCTTCCTTTTAACAAAACATTACTTTTTTTATACATATATTATTGTTATTTATTCACATTTAGTGTTTACTTGTGACCGACCAGGTAGATTTTTTTTGCATTTCCTCAACATATTACGTCTGATGTTCCATCCACCGTGATTGGTTTCAAAATTATTTGAAGAATAGAAATCAGTATGTTGATGTGAATAATACTTGTAGTTCCTTGATGAATATTACAATTGGTGTAGCTCAAGGGTCAGTTTTGGGGCCAATCTTATTTTTAAATTCACATCAACTCCATATCTACTTTAAAATTGAAAGGAAATCTAAAATTTTTTTTAGATGATACAACAATAATCTATACTTCAGAAGATTTTAACGATATCAATAATGATATTGAAAATAATTTGAAACAAATATCATCTTGGCTAACGACCAATAAGTTGACTCTTAATTATGGTAAATCTACATCTCAAGAAGAAGAACGGACATATTGAATAATACCACAATATGTCTCAATAACAAATCCATTGAATATACAAATGTAACAACATTTTTAGGTCTCGTATTCTACTATATTATATTATTATATATGTATAAAATTTCATTCCTGTTAGATACCTGAAGAGTATTTATTTCTGTCTTATTCAAATTTACAATATCTAATATCTATTTGGAGAAGTACAAATATTTTAGGTTTGAATCCACTCATGAAATTACAAAATAAAACAATAAAGTGCATTTTCAATTTACATTTTTTAGAATCAACTGTAAATCTATACAAACCTGACTTGTTGACTATTGTTTCATTATATAAATTCAAAATTTTTTGTTAAATTTTTTTGGTCAGGAAGGAATTCAATATCTCAAATTTGTATTTTAATAAAGTTGATACGACTCACGCCCATAAAACAAGGCAATTTAATTTATATATAAGTGAAATTTTGGTAAACAATCGATATTAATGTAATAGAATTGAAAAACATTTTGGTTGAACCATTAACACAATTAATCAATAAATCATTGTCAACAGGTATTTTTCCACATGAATTGAAACACACCTCATCGGTGAGGCTCAAATTCCGGTAGATTACAGACCAATAGCTTTGTTGGGTATTTTTTCCAAAATACTTGAGAAAGTTATAAAAAAGCGAATTGTTGACTTCATCAATGAAAAATATGAGTTTGACTTGAATCAATTTGGTTTTCAAGAGAAGAGTGGTACACAGTCAGCAGTTTTACAAGTAATCAGTTTTATTCAAGATAGACTTAACAAAGGAAATTATGTATTAGCTATTTTTATGGACCTGAAAAAAGCATTTGATACAGTTGACCACAATATTCTCCTGAAAAATCTTAATTCAATGGGCATCAGAGGTATAGGAAACAATCTCTTGAAAACATATCTAAAAAAAAGAACTATCAGTACTAAAATCAATAATTGTGAATCTAAAATCCTATACATAAACAAAGGAGTTCCCCAAGGATCAGTGTTTGGCCCAATTCTGTATCTTTTATACATTCAGAATATTTCAAAAATAAATTTAATAGGAAAGTATGCCATATATGCAGATAACACAGTACTTTTATTTGAAAACAAACACCCTGTAATTTTAGAAAACAACATAAATGAGGATTTGAAAAAAATGGAAGAATGGCTATACTCCAATCTTCTTTCCCTTAATTCTAATAAGACCCGATATATAATTTTCCATCAAAGAAATAAACAAAATATTGATTTGAATATTAGAATAAAAAATGAAAGATTGAAACAAAGTGCCTATACCAAATACCTTGGTATTTGGATTGATGAAAAGTTAACATGGAACAAGCATATTGGCATGCTCAAAGAAAAAATTTCCCCCATAGTTGGTGCCTTAAGAAAATGTCCAAAACTCCCGAATATAGCAAATACCGTTCTATACTCTCACATCCTTAGTAAAATGAACTATCTCATAAATATTTGGGGTTCATGTTCCAAGAATAATTTCAACAAAATACCTGTACTATATAAAAAAGCATTACTGTATCGTCTTCCATATGACACCCCATCAAATCAACTTTATGAAGGAACAAATACATTTTCTTTGGAAGAGCACTATCTGATAAATACTCTCAATATTCTTTTGATATTATTAACAAACACCTCGAATCTAACTTCATATTGGTAAGGAATTCTCAAATCCATGAACATCATACTAGACAATATGACTTGTTTCATCTTGATGCTGCTCATTCTACACTTGGTTAAAAAAAGTTCACTCACGGAGCTATCTCAAAATTCAATAAATTACCTGATGATATCAAAAGTTGCACACATATCACCAAAATCAAAGTCAAGAAACATATCCTCTTGCAAAGAGAAAATCAAACCTGAGTGAATGATTTCTCATTGACTAATTTATTTCATCATGTCATAATGTACTTTTCATGAGCTTTTTGTTTTATTATATATATATATTTTGATTCTGTTGTTTATTTCAATTACTATAATTTAATTTGATAATGCATGAATAATCTCATACCAGATATGAATCTGTCTGATTATTCATGTCATTCCATTGTAAATGTTAATGATTATATTTATATTTATATGAGATGCAATGTAATGTTTACAGCAAAGAATGAAATAAATAAATAAAATATTCCATAATGGAATAATTTTATATAACTCCTTACCTAATGAGTTGAATAATATAGAAGAAGCAGAAAAAATTAAAATCAATTTAAATAAATATCTGCTCAGTAAACTTTAATTCCATATCTACTAAACAGTCATCATTTGATTACTTGGAACTGATTATAATATTTTCATTTTATAATTTATTATAATTTTTTATGAAAAGTAATAATTGTGCAATTATTATTGTTTTGATTTATTAAGTTATATGTATGAGTTACAATTTGATTCCACCTTTATTCAGCGATATCTGAAGCCACCGCCGTTACGGATTCCTAGAGTTCTCATGAGAACGGTGCCGAGATGCTGACTTTGCGTATTCACTTGAATTATATTCCATATTTTATAGTTAGTCTGACTTTAGAATTCTTACTGTTCACTTGGTACCTAATTTTGATTTTTGTTAAGTTCTGTTCCGAAATAAATCTTTTTAAAAATAAGATTTCCCGGATTCAAACTTTAACTGGCGCAGTCGGTAGGATCGCGAAAGAGTCTTTTTGAATAGATCCTCGTCGTTTTTAAACGTTTGTTCGCGATCTCGAGAACCTCGTCCCTGGAAGGAAGCATCGTCGCTAACCACCAAGGATCACCACCGGAAGGACATCACAGCAGAAGAAGGAATGGTTTTGATCATCATCACTATTGTACTGTGAGTACCTTTTCATGTCAGACTCCCCTTTATCCAATCCCCATAGTACCAGTGTGAATTCAGATTTGAGTAACTTATTTCGTGAAATATTAACAATTTCCGAAAATAATACCATGGCTCCACCATCACCATTCGACGTTAAGAACTTGTGCATTCTACCAGAATACGATGGAAGCCCAAACGCACTCTACGATTTCATCAGAGTGGCGTCTACGCTATTAAATCATTATTATGATCAAACTAACCCGACTTCTCTACAAAATGTTCTACTTCTGCAAGGAATAATTAACAAATTGACAGGCAGAGCGAAGGAAGTTGTATCAATATACGGTTGTGACGATTGGCCTTCAATCAAAAACACATTAATTCAAAATTTTGGAGATCAACGAGACGAAAATTCATTGACAAGAGATTTGGTCAACATGAGACAGCAGAACGAATCACCTCTTCAGTTTTACGAGCGATGCATGGGACTTTTGAACACCATTTCAAATTACTTAGATATTCATAATGATAATGCTGTCGTAAAGCAGAGTAAGAAGGCATTTTTTCAACAACAAACTCTCACTACGTTCTTAGCAGGTCTCAGAGAACCGTTAGGCTCAACAATCAGAGCCATGAGGCCGAATAATTTGGCAATCGCAATGCAGTACATACAAGAAGAAAATAATATACGCTATTTGCAAAGAAATAACGGATCCACTAATTCCGCACCAGATAGGAAACATATGCCGGTACAACAAAGAAATTTCAGACCACAAGTACAAAATTCAAATTGGCACCACCAACCCATGACGCAATCAAGACCTGTATTTCCGCAAGGACCAATTAACCTCCCTCAGAGAACTAATAATCAACCACGTCAAAAATTCTTCACAAATCAACAAGTTTTCGGAAAACCACAAAATGTCTGGGCCCCAAGAAATAATTCTGGAAATTTCCAACCTAGAGCTACACCAATGAGTATAGTTTCGAGAAATACATCACAAACCCAGAATAGGCCGACTCAAATGAGCATAAGTACCCGAAATACAGCAGGACCATCAAATCAATATCGAAGACCCTTCCAAAACAATTACCAAAATTACCCACTTCAAAATGTCTCTGAAGAAGTGTACAACTTGGAACACCAAGATTCTGAGCAACCATTGTATGAAGACTCCTCATATCCGTACAATCATGAAGATTATACCGAAACGCAAGAAGATTATACCTACGAAGAAAACCTGGAATTTTCATCTGACGACCAGAATGTAAATTTTCAGTCGGACAACACCCAAAATCACGAGATATAGTAGAACTTCATAGTTTCGCAGACAAAAAAGAATTGCCA